ATATATATATATATATATATATATATATATATATATATAAACTCCACAAGTTTCTGTGCCCTCTGATTTTATTTACTCCCAACACTTACGTGATCTTGCTCATATTCTAGTACGTTTGCATAAAGAGTTCGTTGCTCCTGCTCTTCTGCTGTCATTGCTCCTGATGCAGCAAACCTCCTATTAAGACAGACAAACACAAGTTCATTTGTTGATCTGTGCATTTTTAAGCAGACGCACAACAATTGCCAACCTTGACAGTACAACAATTAACTGCAATGAAGAATTAGTCTGTATCCTTTTAATTTAGAAAGTGTAGCAAGTCAACTCCTAAAAAAATACACAAAATAGCAATCAAAACCCTTTACAGTGTTTATGGGACTAAGTTGTACTTCATTACAGCCATTGAACTTAACACACTGATAGTCAGGTGAATTAAAGTATTTGTGCACTTCAAGGTTATGTTGATATACAATTAGGAAAATGTGAAAAAGTTTAACAAGCTTGCCATTTGCAAATTATGAGGATTTATTTACGTCAAATAGAAAACGTTGAGACCCAAAACAATTTACAAAACTGATTAAACTCTTTTAGAGACTTAACAAATGTAGTCTTTAGAGCTGTAGAGAAAACAAACGGACTCAGATTGTAGAAAGTTGTTTTGTGATTTTTGTTGCATTTTGGAGCACAAAGTCCATGTGCATACTGACATCACTGCAAGATTTAGGAGACAATGGAAAAACTAACATGATGAGGCAGAGGATGCCAAAGCAAAGTAACTGATAATTTTTCAGATAACAATTGGACAAGCTTAGAACCAATCAGAGCAAACGGAAAGGGAGGGGCGCTAAAAGGCACACCTTAAATACATTTATGCAGAGATTGAGTATACCTGTTGGCTTCCTCCTGTAGCCTTAGTCTTCTTTCCTCCATCTTCCGTTGGAGCTGGAGTTAACATTAAGGCAAGCTTCAAATCAGATCAGCCTTAAGTGATGGTGCTTGTATATGAGAAAACTTTGGATGTAAACAGTAGGTGTGGACAGATCTTTCTGTAGGATTATTCAAGTATTAAAATGAGCAAAAACACCCTAAATTAATATTATTATTATTATGAATATTTGATTATTCTCACACATTTCACCGCAAATGCAGACTGTGTGTGTTTTTACCTGTTTTGTACAGGTTAATCCCATTGAGCCTCGTGGACTCATTTACAAGAAAAACCTGCTTTATTTAGGAATTCAGCATTTTTTTTTTTTTAATAACCAACTCACAGGTCAAGCAACAAAGTGGAGACTTTCACAGCAAAAAGGACTAGCTGCCCAAAGGATACAGCATCTTGCCTGGCTTTGGCTATGATGAGATTCTCCATCATCTGCCGCTGAAGAGAAAGTGTCTGAATCGGATATAGGGAAAAAACAAACAAAAACAACAAATAAATAAATAAATAATAGATTTTAAATATTCACTCTTGTAAGTTACAGATTATACACACCCTTTACATTTTAAATAGTATTTTTGAATTAAAAAAAAGTCAGAAATGTTAGCATTTCTTTTAAATTTTTGTTGATATTAAAAATGTGATGGGGGGGAGGGGGGGGGGGGGAGAGAAAATAAGACTGGCAACACAACTCCAACAAATCACATACTGCGCAGAAGCCCAAACCAAGCATTGCAAGACATATTTCACGTTTGGGCCTGTGGGTGTTTAAAGTTGTCTGTAAAGAAAGCTGGTATGGTATGGTATTAAGAAAAACAAACAAAAAAACGGCATGAAAAGCCTCAATTGTTCCTTTTTTAAATCCAAAGGTGACCCAAAGTAAGATGCCATCTTCCTATGTGCTGGTTTTCAAACAACCAAGTGAACAAAACGTGCAGTCTCTCAGTCATATTTTCAAAGTTCTTTCTATTTTTGATGCAACTCAGCCATAAGTACATCTTTCCAAAATAAGTTCAGTAGCTGCAAACATATGAAACTTGTCTGTGCCCTCACACACACATTCTATAGAATATTCATATAGTCCAGGATGTGGCTATTAGTATTTTGCTGTATCTTGGTATTAAACCGATTTTACATCTTACACATATTACATAAAACATTTGTTTACCATTTACATTACAGCAAAATAAAGCCTTTTCCCATTTAGTGAGTGTGTCCATTTGTGCACATGACAATCAACACTGAATCATTTTCATATAAATATGAGGCCTCTGTCAAAGTGAAGCATTTGTATGTATAAACAATAGCATTGTACGTTTTATTTGGTCTGTACAAACTGAAAAGAGTGGCACAAAATATATGACGTTGTTCCACCTTTAAACATTTCCAGGAGAAATGTGAGTTAGACATGTGATGCTATCAATAAAATAAAAATAAAAGCCTAAAGCCACAATGAGTCCATCAGATTTAGTCTCAACAAAACAAGCATAGAAAGCAAAAACAACTAAAGTGAGACAAAATTTGTCAATAGTTACATCACAAGCTGCCTTTATCACATTATCAATGTCTCCAAACAACCTGATAACATGACTATTTAGTTACTCATAAACTCATAGAAAGATACTTGAAATGGCTGCCAAAAGCAAATTGTGACGACACAAAAGATAAATATTTAGGTTAGGTAAACCAAAAAAAATCATATAAAAATTAGGAACTGACAGGGAAGGTGTAAAAGCTTAATTTGCATAAAAGTACAGTAATTTAAGCTAAAACTGACACCAAATACAGTAAACTTATTATTAGATGAGATTATGAGATTATTGTTAAGGAATAGCGTATTATTTGAAAATATTCATAAGTGTTTTTATGAGTCTTTTTAAAATGGGAAATAGAGAAGGTTTAAGTTTATTTTACATTAAAATAAAGGCCAGCACTGTAAATAAGAATTTGTTCTTAGTGTTTATGCCTGGTTAAATAAAAGGTGAAAAAAAAAAAAACTTTGGTTGCATCAAACTACGTAACAAACGTAATGTTTATGTATTTTGGTTCACGTGCTTAAAGTGCCAAGGAGAAAAAACCTACCTGCTATTAGCCAACATTAAGGTATAGCTGACCTCACTTTACCTTTACAAACGTCTTTAATTTTCTCCAATAAGGACGGAGCTCCACTTGGTGTCGAAACATTTTGCGTATCTAAATGACAAATGGGCATCAGTTGAAAAAAAAAAAAAAAGTCCTAACGATTAAATATCGAAGATCCAAGACTAATCACCAATAGAACAACAAGTAAATGGAAGAATTACCATTTTCCTTTCTCAAAATGAGAATACTGTTAGACAAAAGAAGAAAAACGGGGACCAAGACGTCTTCTACGAAGCTTGACTCCTAAAGTTAACAAAACTCTTCGGTACACCACCCCCCATCACCTGGGTTTCGTAGAGTTTTAATCACTGACGAAGTAAGCTAGCGTCGTACCGGAAGTGCAACCATTCAAAATAAAAGCACCGGAAGTCCATGTTTTGAACGCGCGTCCAGCCTGATTTTTTTTAGGGGTTTTGTTTTGTTTTATTGATTCTATAACTGTATCTTTTATCCTGATGCATGCTCAATAATCCAAGTAGAAAAATCTAAAAAAGTTAAATCTGGTTCTCTGGACATTAAAAAAAAAAAAAACTTTTTTTTTTTTAATGTCCAGAAGACCAGTTAAACTTTTTTAGATGTATCTTTCATCATTTGTACTGCTTTAATACTATTATTTGTTTTCACTTATTTACATCTTGCATCAGTTTGAGCCACTGTGTGTTTAATATTTATATCTTTATCTCTATTTCCATTTGCAAAACATGGTTTTCATGAAAAATGCTTACATGTTTGAGTAAAAATTGCTTTGACGGCAGCATATTATCTAAGAAAAAAATACAAGTATTTTTCCATAATATTGTTCCTATCAAAGAAATGCAAGTGAGCTTTACAAAAAGTGCATATATAACTCGCATAATATTCTCCATACAACCATCCATTATCTTTACCCGTTTATTCTATTTTGGGTCACGGGGGTCGCTGGTGCCCATGTCCAGCGATCACTGTGCGAGGGGCGGGGTACACCCTGGACGGGTCGCTCCCATAATATTCTATTCAATTCAATTCAGTTTATTTATATAGTGTAACAGAAGTCACCTCAGGGCACTGAAAAGAAACATTCATATGTAATATAACAGGGACTGGGTTTTGTACTTGTTGCTGATGACAATTTTGAAGTTTGAAGTTGGATGGTCCTTTGAGTCATATAATCAGCATCATATCATCATATTTCTGCTATATAACAGTGCTTTTCTAATGCTTCAAAGCCAGAAGAGTCATTGCTGTTTAATACAAGGTAACAAAAGACCTACATGTTGCACATAAGTCTATTATAAAATGCTTTACAAAAGCTTCCCAGAATAATCCTTTCATTGTGATTACATCAATTACTGCTGATTGTAAGTTCGTGATTAGGTGGCATCTAGAAGATGACACCCTAACCCTGATCAGGAGTGTCCATCTTTGGGTTATGGTCTTGTCCTTTCTGCAGTTAATTTCCTCCAGATTCTCTGAATTTAGGTTGTAAAAGATTTAAACTGCCACAAGGGCTGTTCTCACTCTGAAAGGCAATTCAGTGTTTCAAAGTCTGCTTGACCTATCTATCACATCCTTCTGTAGCCAAAAGTATGAAGTCAAGAACTTTCTAATTGTGCGGATTGTGAGTGCTGATACAATGGCACATTATGATAAAACTGTTTTAAAAATAATGGAATCAAAGACATACCAAACAAAACTGACCAACAGTACGAACACAAACAGGGGAAGGAAAACATCACGAATGCTTGTTTTGAGGAGAAACTTATATATATGTGCAAATCTCCCTGTACAAATTATCTCTCAGTGACTACAAAAACACACAAACTGTGTCAAAACCCAGAATAAAAAATCACTCAAACTTCTTTTCTTCGTTTCACACTCCAACTCAACAGGTGGCCTGAAGCGTGAAACCATAAAACAATTAGTTAAATGATGTAGCACATATAAAATAAATAGCACGTAAGTTGGGAGATTGCTGTAGTTTAATATCTATGAATACTGACATCATGTAGAAGCTTTTAAGATGCAGGATTAGTGTAAGAACAGAATGTTTAAAAGGTTCAACCCTTTTTCTTATTGTGTCCGTAAAATCAAGGTGTGAATTAGTGGAAACAGATAAAGTGAAAGTTGAGCTAAAACAGCTAACTCCATGTAATGGGATCAATTACAGGGTCTATATAGAGCATAAGCTAGATCTAGAGAGGGTAATGTTAAAGCTTATTAAAGATGCCTTACAGTGTGTATTGAAACTTTAAGGGTATAGTGAATATACAAGATGCTTCTTTCATTGTAATAATGGTATTTCACACGCGGCCTAATTGTGTGTGAAGCTGGTAAATAAATAGGATGTTGTGATTTTGTGAATCTCAAAGAACATGAAACTTGTAGAAACAAAGAACTGTAAGAGACTGAAAAACGTTCTGTCCAATTGTTTCTTTTATTTTACTGTATAATACAAACACTTCACACCTACCAAAGAAGTCTTCTGGCAGGCCTGACCAGGTGCGAGTCTTGCCAGACGGGCTTCGTAATTTGCTTTCAACTTGAGGTTCAAACGTGAAGCTTCTTCCAACGGCGTCAGCTCTCTGAAGAACCACCACATGAAAAAAGTCAAAAGCCCAAAAACAAAACTAACGCGACATGTGTCAACTAGACAAACTGATCCAAATGAACATTTAGTCATGTCCAAAGTGATAGACAAGGCTAAATACATACATTAAAACTAATTCAAATTATTCTGTGCTCTTTCTCTTTAAAAAAAAGTACTTGGAGTGTTTGTTTTGGTCAAAACTGACATTTCATGTGAAAAAGGTGTTTAAACTCCTCATTTCATAGATGGTTTAAGCAGCTTTGCAGCAGTGTTACCAAAAAGTTTTTAAAAAGGCAACATCAGCAGTTTCTGACTAAAACTAATCTTTACTTTTTGCATGTGTCCTGTGAAGCCATGGTTTGTAATCTCTGGAAGACTTCAGGAGGAAGAAAAGGAGACAGCTCTCCACCACCATCTGACAAAACCCGGCGGTGACCAGTCTTGTTCGGGCAGTCTGCTTTGTGTCGCGCATCATTATGACTATCAGTAGCAAGGACATCAACACCTAATGTGAAACAGAACAACAAGTGATGGTAGCTTTAAAAGACAAAATCTCATGGTGAATAAACAGGGACTTTGTTGTATCAACCAGCTTCAAGTTAGCAGGGACTGATGTGTATTAATAAAGGAGATGCTTCTGGATGAAGGGGATTTAACTCACTACTGTTCGCAGCAGTAGCAGAGGGGAGTACAGTAGTCTGGAGAGGCTCTGATTGGCCAGTTGAACAAGGAGAAGTAGGAAGGTCAGGATGGTCAGAGCGCTTTCCTATGAAAGACTTCGCTCGCTCCAGACACTGCTCAGCTAACCTCAACATTCGCTCCACTTCAACCGCCACCATCTCCTTCTCCTCTGAGGCAACAAAACAAAAACAAAGTCATAAAATCTTGATTAATTTAAAGAAACGGCACCAAAAGTGATTATTCTAATGAAGTCTCTAAAAAGGTTTTACTTGAGATCTAATTTGGTTTCATGTCTAACAATTATCTACTGTTTCAAGCTGATTAGATCATTTAATGATCAAATTGATAAACGACAACAAGCTGTCCACTTTAAGCTCTTCTGGTCCCTGAAGCAAGTCTGGTCTGTTCGTCTGTCTACTACCTGCTAAATACTTAAACCTAAAAAAAAAAGCAATTTTTGTGTTCACGATATAAATAATTTTATATCATTAAGTACACGGTTGTTAAAGACAACAAATTTGTCAATGATGTACAAAAGAAAAAAAAGACTACAAGTTGAGACCTTGATAAAAATGTATTTAAACAGAATCCAATCACCTACAAATTTGTATATTTTAAATATATAAATATAATAATATAAGGTAGTTTGAATTTTAGGTCAGCAACATTCAAAAAATGTTGATATAGAAGCACAAAAACAGAGAAAAGCTGTAAAACAGCTAGAAAATTAAAACAAAAAAGGAAATACATCCCAGATTATGTGAGAAGTTCAGACTCAAATAAGTTCTACCTACAGTATGTTTTGTTTTTTTTTCTTCAGGCTTTTCCCTCATCCCTGTGATGGACTTGCGACCCCACCCCTCCCACAGTGATTGCTGGACATGGGCACCAGTGACCCTCACGACCCAAAAAGGAAGAAGCAGGTAAAGACAATGGATGGATGGATGGCTTTTCCCTCTTCAGAGGTCACCACAGTGAGTCATCCTCCTCCATCTCACTCTGTCCTCTGCATCCTCTGTCCTCACTCCAACTACCTCCATGTCCTCTCTACCTGCATCCATATATCTCCTCTATGTCTTTTTCCTGGCAGCTGCATTTCTAACATCCTTCTACCAGTATACCCACTGCCCCTCCTCTGGACATGTCCAATCCATCTCATTCTGGTCTCTCTAACTTTATCTCTCAGTTGTTCAACTTGTGCTGTACCTCTGATCTAATTTCTAATCTTATCCATCCTTGTCACTCCTAAGGAGAAACTCAACATCTTTAATTCTGCTACTTCCAGTTCTTTCTCTTGTCTTTTTGTCAATGTCTCTGTCTCCAAACCACTGTCTCACCACTGTCTTGTAAACTTTTCCTTTGACCTTTGCTGCCACCATTTTGTCACAAAACACTCCTGAAATTTTTCTCCATCTACTCCATCCTGGACTCGCTTTTTTCTTTTACCTCTTTACCACACTCCCCATTTTCAGTGGACTCCAAGTACTTGAAGTCCTGCACCTTTGTGACCTCTGCTCCTTGTAGCCTCACTGTTCCGCCTGCCTCCGTCTCATTCACGCGCATGTTCTCAGTCTTACTACGGCTGACTTTCTTTTCTCTTCGTTCAAGTGCATACCTCCACCTCTCTACAGGGCACACATGTGCCTAAATTATTGACTTATTTCATTTAATTTAAAAAAAAGGTCAAGGCAAAGGACAAACACAAGAACAACATGGACATTTGTCTTTATTTACACTTTTTAAATGTTTGACTGAAAGAGTAAAATAACTACCAGTAATTACATTTATGCTTGCTTGGTTTTTTATTTTTTTTTACTTGACTGGTACATCCACTGGGCAGTACTGTGTAATTGGCAATTTTGTACAGAAATACATAAAAGGGAAACCAGCCAAAAGACTACATATTTTATTGAGGTAGGTTAAACTATTTTACAATTCAAATTACAATGTTGTTTATATTTTTAAAATACAGCTAAAGACAAATCTTACTTTGAGAACTTGCTTCCTCTAAAAGTGTATGTGATATGTAGTTGATGGTCCGCATGTATTCATAGTAAGCTTCCTGCAGAGAGACAACAAACAAGTCAAATAAATAGCAGGATAAACAATAACTAATGCGTTACAAACACAGAGTTATACACGTCATTATAAAAACTGCTGGGGTTTTCATGTAAAAAAATATGTTGGAATGCCAAACAGGAGTGGCAATGGATATTTTCTCATTAAAACAGCCTAGGTGAATCAAATCGGTTTAGTGTTGTAAAGGTTTCTAGAAAGAAGCAAAATGTTTAAGAATTAAAAAAAACATACAAAATGTATTGAATAACCAAGTTGGCACAAGCTTATGTGAAGACACAATTAAGACTATTTCAGTATAATCCAGTTTAGTGGAGGCAGGGTGGAGTGGATGGAGACCAGTGTCAGGGGTGGTTTGTGACACCAAAATCCTTTCTAAAAGGAAAGTGAAGATTTATATTATGAATGCCTGGTGATTATTGGGATACCTGCTGTGATGTGCAGTTAGGAAATGGTGGCACTAAGAAAAAGACAGGAAGCTGAGAAAAACTCGGACTGAGCAGTTTGTTTAAAGTTAAAAAAGCAAGGCTGGGATGATTTGGATAGTGGATCCACTGGACAATGGCCATATGGAGCAGCCAGGGAGAAGACAATGACTACAGAGAATGTTCATGAATAAGAGGGTGAGGAACTAGATGGTTCACGGTAGAAGCCATTGAGGAAGAAGAGGTGAGCCCATCAAATTAAATGTAAGCGATATCACAGCGTTATAATAATAATAATAATAATAACAAACTTGTTAGCGTCGCTTAAAATGTTTTAATTAGTTGTCTGAAACAGTCTTAAGTACCATAACAGATATAAAATATATAAGCTGACGATATTTGTTGTCCTGTTTCCCAGCAGCTGCGTTAACCTCCGCCCCCTTCCGTCTGTTTACATCACCACACCTTCGTTTTCTTTCGGGTTAAAATAAAAACGATTATCGTCACTATCCTGTTATGAAGCTCTCTACCTTGGGTTTGTTTTCCCCGTCCAGCTGTATCGCCACTTTGGCCATTTTCATGGCATTTTGAAGAGGTTTTATACCACCGTCAGTGGCAGCCATTGTAAATCCGTTGTTTTTTTTCTTCTTCGCGTCTTTTTTTTTTGTTGTTGTTGCGCTCAGGCAGGTCCACACCGCCCCCTGCTGTTCACACAGTTGTACTACAGCAACAAAGAGGTCAGCACCTGACCAGTCTGTCTGTTTCAGGTGTTTCCCCGCTTCATCGTCCCAGAATTTCAATGAGTCAGTGACAGATTTCTGCTGACACTGATGACGAATTGTTGAGTTTATCCAGTTTAGTTTAGTTCTGGTGAGTTGCAGAAAAGCACTGAAACATGCTGAACAGTCTGTGTCTCAAAGAACAAGGTTGGGAAACATTTTAATGTTAATATTCTTCATTTTAGAAAAGTTGATAATATAGACATTACAATAGTCATGCTTTGCATGTGATCTAGAACACAAATAGTATCTCAACAATTAAGAAAAACCTGACAACATTAATAAGAAATAGATAAAAATAATAATTCTAAATGCACACCCAAAAGCAAACAGTTCTGTCTTCTTGATGATGAGCCACTCGATCCTTGTGACTCATTTTCCCCCTTTCATGCAAATATGTGCGACAATGACAGTAAAAATGTTTGTCAAGATCTAATCTCAATTGTTTTAGTTACATGCACTAACAAGACAGTAACTAACTGTTTAAAAGGCTTTCCTGTGTTCGACTGCAGCATCCTAAACTTTCCACTGAGAATCAGCTGGTATGGATTTTAATAAACCTGTCAGAAAGTGTCACACTAAGTTTTCTGTATGATGAAGGTGAACTCAACTAATTAAGGACATATAAAGTTAAAGCATCATGCTTCCCTAATTATCTGTGGCTAATCACTTAAAGTGATCTTGCGCATATATGGAGAAACAGCATCTGTGCTTACAAAGTGCTTATTGCAAAGCATGAAATCAAACATAAAAAGGTTATATTTACTAATTGAAAAGGTGTAGTTTGAAGATGTTTATTCCAGTAGGTTTCCTGTCATGTGGGTTAGGGTTATGTGGGTCCACACTCAATGTAAACAATTAAAGCACTCAACTGAACCTTGCTGAAAACAATGTGGAAGTTTGAGTCATGTGGCTAACCTACATTAGGCTGTGTAGGAAAATAAATGTGTCTGAATTGGACAAATGTGAAATTTCATAGAAGATGATTAGGTGGACATAGTGTGAATCGGCTGCTAAACACAAAAGAGAAAGATGGCGTAAGATAACTAGCAAGAATTAATATCGGGGATCAAGCATGGAAGCTCTATGCTTCATCCTAAATCAAGTGGCGCTTTATAAGAGCTTCATAAAGAGCTTGGTGATCAAACACACACTGCTTCTGCAAAATTTTTGGTAGTCCAAGACGTTTACAGTTTGACCTTTCAGTTACTTCGGCTCTTGGCGTTGGCATCCAGTCACAGAGGTTGCTTACAAGTTTTATAATTCAAGAAGCAATAACCATATGAGAAAGATATTGTGTGCATCATGTTTATTACTTCATGAATTATTTGCAATGAGTGCCTCTTTATGTTATGAGTTCTGACTTCTTAAAATCAGGCATTCTGTAAAATTTGGTCCATTATTTTGAGGACAAGAAGAAGGTAGCTTGGTGGTCAGTGCCGTGGTTGCGTGTTTGAGTTCAGGTTGCCAAATTATTCATGTGAGTTCACTCGCTGGCAACCCCTGAAGAAGGGAGCAGCCGAAAAAAATGTTTTACCTTTGAATATTTTAATGATGTATATGGTTCATTACTTTACATAGTTTTCTATTATATTTTATAACTTGTTTATTTAATTGGTTATTATTATTATTATTATTATTATTATGTTGGTCGGCAGGTGGCGCTCTCTAGTTTTTCCTTCCATTGTTTTTTTCCGGTAGCACTTCCGGGTTCTAATGTTTACAAACTGCTAGCAGATTTTGAACCAGTTTTGTTGTTCTGTCTAATGAAAATTTTCTCTTTTTTGCTACAAAGACAACATTTTCTCCAGCTGTTATTATCTGTGCAGATTCACGGTAGGCTCTGCTCGACGATAATATTATTTGTATCTTGCGTTATTTTTACCCAAACGCGGTGTACTAGCTATAGCTAACGAGGCTAACCAGCTAGCGTCTGTTTTTGTAATTAAGACACCAGTAAAGAGAATTAAGTTGCGATGCAAAATGTCTCAGGCGGTTGTTTGTGTTTGTCATATGTGAATGCAGCTCGGATTTTTAATTGTATATCTACTTTTTAAGCATATAATTGTTTAATGTCAGTGAATGAGTTTCCAAACAGTGCTTAGCAAAAAGGACGATACATTTGCATAAGATAATTAGTTCATCAACCTGTCCTGTCGCAAAACTCAATAACTTTGCCCATATATTTTTTTATTTTGCGCAAATGATAAATGTTGAATCTTCAGGTAGAAAAAAAAATTTTTTTTTCAATAGTTATTTTTAGGATTTTTTTTTTTGATGCAATCAAACTAGGAAAAATACCAATTTGATTATAAGTTTAAAAACAACTGAAAAGTGTGAAGAAGCAGCTACTGTTTAAAGGGGATTTTTAAAGACCTTTGGAAAGCATGAAAAATACATTGCTCACGATAATAAAAATAAAAAAAATCAGGGTAGTTCACGTCTTTTTTAACAGTCCTGAAATTTCACTAATTTCAATATAATTCTGAGAAATTTTTAAATAAAATTTCAATTGATAATTAAAATGGCATTATTTTATAAACTGAATGTTACCAATAAATTTAACTTAAAACTAGTCTTGAGTTCTTGATCTTTGTTACCTCCAAACAATATTTTTGTTTTGATGCAATTTTAAGAAATTTCCTAATTTCTTTTTGTTACACAAACTTGCTGTTCTCCTCAGTGGTCAACTCTTGTGAAAAGCACATGATAACCTAAATTATTACCAGGGATAAAAAAAAAAAAGCAATATATTTTACAAGCTTAAGTTAAAGTATATGACATACATATCCTACAAATACAAGAAGTGGGAGAAAACATCTTAATATTTAAGAAATTTGGTATAATACTCGAGCAGCATGGTGGCGCAACTGGTAGAGTTGCTGCCTCTCAGCGAGCAGGTCCCTGGTTCAAACCCCGGTCCAGGGGCCTTTCTGGGTGGAGTTTGCATGTTCTCTCCGTGCATGCGTGGGTTTTCTCCAGGTACTCGGGTTTCCTCCCATAGACCAAAAACATGCATGTTAGGCTGATTGGTAACTCTAAATTGTCCCTAGGTGTGAGTGAGAGAGTGAATGGTTGTTTGTCCCATTTGTCTCTATGTGGCCCTGTGATGGACTTGCGACCCATCCAGGGTGTACCCCGCCCCTCGCACAGTGTCTGCCCCTCGGACATGGGCACCAGCAACCCCCGTGACCCAAAATGGAACAAGCGGGTAAAGATAATGGATGGATGGATGGATGGTGTAATACTCTTAATTTTACCCATTTTGTCACATATCTGGCATTTTTTCTTTTGAATTTTACTCAGGCGGAGTGAGACAGGAAGTGACATCAAAGGGGAACTCTTAAAAAAAAAAAGAACTCTTTGGAAGTCTTTGTTTATTGAAACATTAATATTTGAACTCTGACTCTTCTTCATCGTTTTCTGATAGTGACTCATAATAACATGATGAAACATTAAATTACTCTCTACTGTCTGTGTTAGCTTTTTTAGCAATGCTGTGTTTACATGCAGGAGTTCCCCTTTGAAATTTCTTATTTTTAAATTTCTGTTACCGCGCATGCAAATATCTCAATTATTCACCTTAGCGGCATGAAGTATTTATTATTTTTAACATGTTATTAATGTTATCTTATCAAAAATGCATTCATATTTATAACATAACTTTGATGCCACTGGCACTTTAAATTGCGCTCAGTAAAACTTTCAGAAAACTGTTCAATCAATGTCCTGTGACTTATGTTGCTGTTTTTTTTTAATGTGGTGCAGGCAGCAGAACACTATTTACACGATCAACTTCTGGTGGTTCAACAACACAAACAAACAATGAAGAAGAAAGTCAGACGTCTTAGGACTTCAGAGCGCATGCAACAAACTGGCAAGGTACAAACGGCAGCAGATGTAAGTGAAGATAAAATGCCATTTAGCAGCAGTGGAAAACTGTGGAAGACTGTTACCCCGACTGCTGGCAGCATTTGTCCTGACAGTTCAGAAACAGAGAAAACAGCTGACTTGGACTTCAGCTTGAACAAAGCAGACGACGCACAGAAACATCCCGAGAGCAAGTCCAGATCTTCAGGTGAGAGGCTGAGAATGAACTCGTGTTCAAGCACGAACTTCATAGCTTGAAATTAAATAGGTCTTCTTTGGTGAAATTACATTACTATATGTATTTGAATATGATATTTATTTTGCATAATTTCAGCTCTTGTTTCCTTTTCGTTTTTAATACCATCTGATATAGTGAAAAAATTAAAAAAGTATTTTTTAGTAAATTTTTCAAACATACATCAAACTATTATATGTAGACCAAGTTAACACTAAATAAAAGCATTTGTTTTGTTAACAGTATTTGAGATACCCGTGAGATTGCACTAAAATCTGTAAACTTTCATTCTGTTCCGGCTCCTCACAGGCCGTCTGTCAGCTGCCGTCTGTCGGCTTTGCCACGGAAAGTTCTCCCCGCGCAGCCTGCGGCACGCATTTAACAAGTGGTCTCAGGATTCTCTGGAAATTGTTGACGATTCAGATGCTGCAACCCAGTCTCCACTTTTGTTTCATACTGACTTCCAGCGGTTGGTTGGGGTCCAACTAAACCGTGACCCCCGACTTTCAGAGTTTATCTGCAAAAAATGTTTCACAAAGTTCTACAAGTGCCACAGCATCCTGATCAGGTTTCTGCAGAGGGTCAACCTGCCGCCTGTCGGAAAGGAGAACCTACAAAGTCGGTGAGTTGTGGAAAACCCCTGAGTGTCTTTAGAAGTCTCTTTCTAACTGAAGAAAGTGCAAAACCACAAGTCATTTTTTTCTCCCCTTTTTCAGGAAGAATGCAAAGAGTCCAAATTCCTCAATAAACCATAGTTTGAGAGGTAAATAAAATGGGACAGCCTTACAGAAATAACCTGCTTGTGTGTAGTCTTCTAACTACTGGTAGTTTATTTTATTTTAGCAACGTCAAATTTTTCATCAGACCCCAAGTGCCTCCAAAGCCTGGTGAACTGGGCACACCATCATGGAGAGGCTTGCCATTCCTGTCCTGACCTGAAGGAGGTGCTGGAGGGCCAGTGTTGGGGCTCCATGAAGGCTGTGTGGGGCTGTGTCGATGGTCACAGATACATCATGGATGCTCAGTGCACCACTGCTTCCTACTCAGATAACACAGTGAATTCTAGCAGCGGAGCGTTAAGAAGGGGGAATGGTGACGGAGTAATGTCAGAGGAGGAGGGACGGGAACAAGAAGATGAAGAGGATGAGGAGGAAGTGCCTGGTGGCAATGAAAGAACATCAGTGGGAAGTTTAAGCACTCTGGCTCAGCAAAGTCTACCCTCAGATGCAGTAAAGATACAGAACTTGGCACAGGATGAGTGGACCGGCAGCAGTGAAGGTAAAACTATTTACTACAGAAATATAAAATCAGATACAGCAAATATCACTTTCAGGCTGGCACAGTAACACAAAGTTGATCTGCTTCAACTAAACATCTGGTTAGGTGGACAGGCTGTGTAATGTGAACACAGACACAAGACCACATTTGATAAGACAGCTCATGTTGCATGATAGCCTTCCTGCTTCCAGTGTTTTTTTTTTGTTTGCTTTTTTTACTTGCAACCTAATTTTTCTGAGCCCTTCTCTGATAACTGAAGGCTTCTTTTGTGTTGCCTTTGGATCGATGACGATAACGACGTTCATGTAGCTTCACGAGTATAAATTCATTTAATTTTATTTTAATTTGTTTGGTAAATGCATGTTTTCACTGGTTATAGAAATGTCCAGTTGAGTTACCTTAAATAACGCATTTGTAACTTTTTGTTGCAGTTTAAAAAAAACAACAATGAAATGTTCATGACTTCTGCATTTTACTAGAAAAGAAATTCAGGCGTAAACGTTCACTAAAGTTGTTCACGTCAGGTCTGATTTCCTTATTCTTTGAGTTTTGAGGATGTTTAGATTGATGCACAATTTAAACTACTTAAAGCAGACGAGGGCAAAATACATCCTGAGCTCCTTAAACTGTTTCCATCTACCTCTCTTCTAGCATTTTATTAAAAAATCTTAAAGCAACTAAAACTTGGACCACCAGTACTTTTTGATGTCCACATGTAAAAGTCTTTGGACTAAAAAAGCTTAAAGTTGCATTTGCTTTTATTTTTGTGGTTATGCAGACAAATTAAGGTTATGTGACACTATAAATGTTACATAACAGCTCTAAATGGTCCATATTTTAACTGTTAATCACCAATAGCTTTTTATAACCAAGTTTGTTTGGCCCTTTGGAATTAAATGTTGCCCAGCTCTCATAAATACAACAGACACCAAAATGTTTCCTCCGTAAAAGTTGAGGCAAATGTAATTCACATTTTTGAGTCCTACCAGTTTGATTTTGCTTGTGATGAGTGGCTGTGGTTTCTCGATCTGTCCCAGATCTTCCAGGCCACGAGGAGCTGATGTCTCCAAGTGCAGCACCGTTGCAGGACCGGACTGCAGACAGTGATCTATCCGACAGGTTAGTCTCTCCGTTCATGCTTCCTGCTGCTGGAAATACTCTGATTCTTTAAGGAAAACTAATTATACCATATTAAAGTGAAAGTTGTGTATTCAAAATGAGCACATGTGACATTATAGATGTATTATAGAGTAAGACTCATGCACAGCTAATTTGTTTGTGGGTTTCTTGCTCAAATAATCAAATTATTGGTTCTTAAATACAGATATTTTAGTTCAAAGTGATGCAGTGTTTCAAGTTGTTTCTCAAAATAATTTAAATGACTGCATTTCATAAATACAGAATAAGTTTAATAAAGAAAAACAATAAATCCTGAAGTACCGGTTTCTGGAATAAAATTAACATTTTAAATAGAAAAACAAATAGTTCAACATAATACTGGCTTAAGCAAACAATTAAACTGGGTATTATTTTAAAATGAATTACTTTTATTACTGCACACAACAAAACAAACAAACAAAAAAATCCAGATAGTTATGCCACTTATGTATTTTGTTAAAAATCCTAATTTAGACAAGTATTTTTACTGACAGCTTATAAAGAAACTAAACTGTAACCATCAGTTAAAAACAGTCTAGTACCTCATTGTTTGTATTTTCTTCAGATTTTGTTTCTTGTCATAAAAAAAACTAAATTTACCTTACCATTTGCTACGTCAACACTTACTGTCACATGTTTAATGTGACACTAATTAAGAACCTCACAGCAGATACATTAACGTCACCTGGGTGTGTTCAGGGGGATCTCTGAGGACGAGTTTGAGGAGATTAGAGGAGGAGGAGACGAGCTGGATGAAGAGTTTGAGCCGTACTCTGACAAGAGGTGGGTAGAAAAGCTTCATGTGGGCTGTACTGATTGGCAACTAACAGCTAAATAATTATAATAATCTATTTTTATCAGCAAGACAAAAGGTGACGACAGAAAATGAGATTTTTGTCACAAATCGTTCACACTTGGCAACATAAAACAACCTTATTTAGTTTAAGATTCGTTAAACACTATTAATGACTGAACTGACAAATTTGTAAGTAGTAAAACTAAATTTGTGATTCCTGAATAGCAGTGAACTTTCGTGGAACCAAAGCTCTCCAGCCTTGCTGAAGAGTTTATTTTTTTGCCATTGATGGCTCTTAGACCATTTGAACTAACTGCACCTTCTCTCCTTCTCCCAGAGCTCGCAGGCTGAATGTCGTCAGCAAAAGAAGGCAAAGCCCAAAAACCCCCGAGGAGCCCAGAGCCCGAAAGAAACCTGGACCCAAACCAGGCTGGAAGAACAAGTTCAAACCCAAAGGGTGTGTCTTGAGTCTTGCAGGGTTTTGCAGCAATTCTGTATTAAAAAAAAAAAAATCCATATTTTTATTTAGTTAGCTTAGACTAACAACTTGTTCCCTTTTTTTTTTATTTTTTTTTTTTAGAGAGGAACTTCCCAACATTTACAAGTGTCCTTATCAGGGCTGCACAGCTGTCTACAGAGCTCCTGATGGTCTGAAGGTCAGTGTCGTAGAAAAACAGATTCACAAACAATCAGGTGCAGTTTGGAATTTATTCACTCTGTTTGAATGAAATCAACAGAAAATGGCAGGAGCTTTCGTTGTCATGTGGCATTTTTGTTTTTTAACGTTGACATTTTAATGTGTACACGATTGAGATGTCACACAGGTGTTCGATTTTCTTCTTGTGGTGTGGATTTTTTAGAAACACATCAAGGAGCATCACGAGGACATGCGGGAACGGCCCTGTCCCCATCCTGGCTGCAACAAGGTTTTCATGATCGATCGCTACCTGCAGCGACACGTCAAGCTCATCCACACAGGTGAGGTTTGTGTAAGATGAGGATCGCAGTTCCTTTTCTGTCTCTTGTTGGTGTATTTTACTGAGCTTCACCTCAGTGGTCTTTGATATGAGTTAATTTTATTGTTAATATTGTAAAATGTAGGCATCGTTGTTAATTTTCTCTTCTGTTTTCTAGAGGAAAGGAACTACATTTGTGACCAGTGTGGTCAAACATTCAAACAGAGGAAACATCTGTCAGTTCACCAGATGAGGCATTCAGGAGCCAAACCACTCCAGTAAGTCTTGATAATGTCACTTTAATATATCTGTAATTCACAAGCTTCACAGACCTGCAACCTACAGTTTAACTATTTTTTAAATGACCAAAATCAAATATTTGTCACGGTTTTAAATAACCTGGATGTTTTCCCTGAAAGTGAATTTTACTTAAGAAAATTTTGATTTGCACAGAAATGACAAGCCATTCTAAACATTTTTTTTATTAGCAGCTGGCGTGGTTTATATTTTAGAAATCAGATTATTATTTTTACTTTTTTAGATGCGAGGTGTGTGGATTCCAGTGTCGCCAGAGAGCGTCACTAAAGTACCACATGACCAAACACAAGGCTGAGGCAGATCTGGAGTTTGAGTGTCTGATGTGCAGGAAGCGTTTCGAGAAAGCCCACAACCTGAATGTCCACATGTCCATGGTGCACCCGCTGACTCAAGCAGAGGCTCAGAGGGGGGGCAGCCAGCAGCAGCAGCAGTACACTGACCTGCAGACTATCAGTCTGACCGGAGAAGTGGTCCAGCAAGACCAGGACAGGTGACAACAAGGGGTCCAGGTCTGCTGAATGGTATTGAGGTTTGGGGGCTGGGACGTTTCTGGACGTGATGTTTGATACAAACCAACACGTTTTATTTTAACTGACCAGTTCTTAAAAGTTGTAACAAGTTGTGTTCTGTCCTGAGTTACCTTTTTGTTGCCTGAATTCATTTTAGCCTTTAAAAAACAAACACTCATTCCTTCTTGTGTACTTCAGGTCCAGGAGATTTTAAACTGATGTTTTTCTGTGAGTGAAACTTGAAATTTTCAGTTTTTCTGGCAAAACAAACATTTGCTGAGCAGAAATAGCGTAAGGAGCATTTAGCTCCTAATTTTAATCCTCTTTTTTTCTGTCTCCAGAAACTCAAAACAGAAGCAAAATCAGAACATTTGTACACGTTTGAAGCAGTGCAGGAGATGTAACAGGTTGGTTTGCACATTTTCAAAACCTGTTTACAGTGAACAGTTTAACATCACATGAATTAGTGCGGTCAGTGACTTTACAGGGATAATTACAGAATGTAGGCTGAAAAATAACAAATATAACCTGTAACAGTTTTAACGGTTAAAATCTGAAGAACTTCATCCTGAATCACCAACAGTTACTTGCCTTGTTATAAACACAATTTTAAGATAAGTTTGTACTTTTATAACATTAATGTACTGTAGCTCAGAGGCACAACAGGTCTCTAATTAAACAACACAAAAAACATAAACAGAATGAAATCAATAACCATAAAATACCATCTAACATGGCGTCAGGTCCTCTGGACGGAGTCTTTGCTGAAACGTTTCGTCTTTTATCCTAAAGACTCCTTCAGTCTTTAAAACACTGTTTTCTATGGAAATTAAACATCTGTGAGGACAAACTGGATCAAGATTTTTGCTTCTTATCAGCCATCAGAAAGTGAACTAAAATGTTTTATTGTTGCTACAAAAAAATAACTTTACAAATTTTCATATCTAGCTGCACCGACAAACTAATCAAATAGGTAAAAAATATGCTTAATAACTTTATAGTTCAGTTTTTCAAATAAAAATGTGTGATTCCAAATTTAGACAAAACATTTGATACATCGTTTCCTTATTAAAATTTATTTTAAAGGTTTGAACCGCTGGCCAGATAAAATAAAAAACTCACAAAGCATTTCACTGTTCTGTAATGTTTTAAACACTTTGTTTGAATGTTTGCTGAGCTGTCAGGGACATTGTACTTTAGTGTATATAAAGTTTAAATAAATAAAATCTTGTTGCCTCACATGCACGTTAAAGCACTTCTACATGTGCTACAGGATCTTCAAGATGATGCAGTAAAGTTTTATGTAATCATGTTTTATTAAGTTATTTCTCTGTATTGTAGCAATGAAAGCGCTTTCATGTACACGTGTAAAAAGTGTGTATTCTGTAAAAACGTACATTTAAATAAAATGTATAATTTTCATTTTCCAAAAGAAAAAAACATGTCTGTTGGAGACACGTTTCTAATCATATTTCTGTTAGATTCAAGACATTAGAACGGATGTTTCAGTTTGTTAGCATCAGTCAGAGGAAGTCCATCTCAGGACTGAGACTGTGAGGGTCCAGGTGCACTGAGAGAACTGCAGCCAACTCCGGGTCCAGGTCGACACATTGCAACTCCAGCTGGAAGGATAAAGAAGTGATAAAGGTAAGTCAGATGTGGAAACAGGGTGATGGGTCATGCAGGTGCTGATGTGGGACGGTTACCTGTCTAAGCTGGCCAGAGGACAGGTCAGTTGGGGACGATTTAGAGATCAAGTTTAAAATAAACTGCTTGGTGTGGTTTAGGATCTGGGAGGGCTCCAGCTAACAACAGAGACACCCTCAAAGTTAAAGTTGTTTTTATTGTTTCATTCGAACAGAAACGGCAGCACACACCTGTTTTTTAGAGAGCCCTGCGGTCGGTGTAGGCGTGTCTCCGTCCAGGAACAGCTGCAGCACAGCGATGTAGCAGCTGATGGTAGTATGGAGGAACCCAGGACAACAGACTGCCCTCTGAAGCAGCTCAGCTCTTTGCTCCGGCAGCAAGCTGAAAACAAAATAGATTTTAAAATTTACAAAGCTCAGCAGCACAAAGAAAGTACTCTGCCTGGGTCACATGATATTCAGCTGTCAAACGACCTGTACAGGCCTCCATGTGCAAGCTGCAGATTCTGAAACCCTGATCGAAACACGTTATGCTTTGTGATGCAAAATTTAAAAGATGCAGGACTATGAATGGAGTATGTCACAAAGATCTGACAGATTTCAGTCCAACTGTAAAAGTAAACTGAGCGCCCATGCCAGTGCTCTCAATATTAGATTCTGACACCAAATATAGAAGAAGGAAGAGGAGACAGCGGTGAAAGGACAAAGATGGTCGCAGCAGTAGTCATGACCTCTCCAGAAAACGTCTGGCACGACTTGTCATAGGTCATCTGGTCATGAGAGCATCACACTGGACGACCACAAGCGGCCGGTGCAAGCTCACGACCCAAAGTAATGTCTGAGTCAACGTGAAGCCGTGAACCTGACTTAGACTGTAGCTTAAAATGGGCATGCTTTTATTTTTTTTGCAAAACACCCCCGCTGCAAATCAGCTGCATTTCACCTGGGCAGCGCAGCGAAATGCAGCTGATTTGACCACTGAAGTGCATTTATTAAGTACAAGTTCAACTGAGACACACCTTTACTATGTCGAGCAAACAAACAATTGTTTTGAGGTGGTTATCTTGTTAAATTTTGAAGGAAAAAAATGTTGTTTTTTCCCCCTCTATATTTAGACACATAAAATGCAATAAAAGGTTTCTGAACTTGAGATGAACTGGTGTTGTCTTGAAAAGACAAAGAAAAAAAAATCCATTTGACTTTTTAGGCACTTTAGTAGCAGTCGGTCACAAAACAAGATCTTACAGTTTGCTTAGCTGTATTATTATTATTGTTTTATTTTTGGACAATTTTATGCTTAAAACCTTTCATAAGTTAGTGTCAAGTACAAAAACCGGGCTTAAATTGAGAGACGAGCATATTTTTAAATCCTGGAGAACTAAAGTTAATTTTAAAAGACTGCAAAATATACAGAAATAAAGTCTCAACAGTTTCCCCTTTAGAAATGTGGCTTCAGTAACTTTCAGATTTAAAGCTTTTGAAACCAGACGATCTCACAAAACTTCGTTACAGAAAATGAAGTAGTTTTCAGGGCTACAAAGAACTGACTAGGTGTGGTGGCTGATCTTTGGTGGTTGAATCTGTTCTGTAAAACTGATGCGCTTGTGTCAAATGAGACTCGAGCATTTGTGAATGCTTTACTTTGGATGCCCTTCCTGGTGCAACCCAGACTTGAACCTGCAGCCTCAGGATTGAGACTGTGGCATTGACCACCAAGCAACATCAACACACTTACACTGTTTTAATTTACTTAAAGAAAATACATTACAAAAAAAAATAAGCTACTTCTGGAAAACCTCACCTGCAGAAAGCCCAGGGCATCAGTCGTGAGCACTCATCTGATGTCAGCAGGGTTGCTGACTGATAAAGACTTTGGTCTAGAGTTGGTGGAAAAGAAGCACAAGTTGAAAACTGCAGCTTAAATGAAAACAGATTTATACAAACAATTTTAAACCAGCTAAGCGTGAACTGTACCGTTTGATTTGAAGATGAGCAGCCAATCAGCAGAGTTCACCAACACGTTCAGGAGCTCTGTGCAGAAATATTCAGCTTTTTCTCGACCCTTCTACAGAACAAAACAATAAGAGGAATATTTGACACAATGCAACGTAGTTATGTGTGATTATCATCAAACAAGATCATCCACTCTGCTACCAATCATGGCTGGAGTGCTCCGGAGCACACCCTTCCTAACTGTTCTACAAACACCACAGCTGTCAGGTTCCCACTGCTTCAGCACGTTCACCTTTTTTCTACTGTTTCTCCTTGAAGGTTTTAATCAGGCAACCACAAAAATAAAGAAAATATATGGTATGGTATAAAGTTTATTCATTTTAAAAATACAAAACAGTTTCATAACTATATAAAAAAAATACAAGAGATTTAAAATGAAAGGCAGCAGAAAGAAGAAAAAATCTTATTATATCTGCCCCTTTTTCAAATATATATATATATATATATATTGGTATACTCATTTAAAAGCACTGAAGCTGTAGTAAAAACCTGAACACAAACTTTAAGAACAAAGAAATGAAGCTTGAAAATGTCATTTGCACTGCAAAAATAGCTGATGGTTGAGTGTTTTTAAATTAATTTTACAGTTTCAACAATTATAGTCTTAGTCTTTAGTAATCTGTACGTTTTTTTATGATTTTATAAATTTTTTTAAATCATTATGTAAAATGGTTAGAGAAGTGTGATGGTTCGGTACAAAATCATGATGGGTAGGATGCCGTTCGTGGTTTGTATATATTTGGTTATACCTGTGAAGTAAACTAGTCCTCAAAAACTACCCAAATTTGTCACTATGTAGTGCAATAAAGCGTTCATGCATCTGTTTTTTTTGTCAAAGAAATTATAGTAATTAATAGTTTGATGTTTTTGGTGAGTTTGATACAGGGGGAACCTGCTTATTGATTTATTTGCCTAAAAGTAAAATTGACACTCCTCTTCTATACAGTAAATATCAAGCAAAATCTGTTCAGCGTAGCTTTAAATATTAAAACAACAGACTCTCTTTAGAGCTTGAGTCTAGATTCTGTTTTCATGGACATAAATGAGAGTAGATTCTTATATATTCTACATCTCAGCCTTGCTGCTACTTTCAATCAAGAAAAAAAAAAAAACACAATAACAAAGTTTAAACTTTTGTTACCTCCTGGACTGAGTTGTCTCTAAATAAAAATGACACGTTTTATACAGAAAAATAGATCCATGTTTTTTTTGTTTTTTTCTGGAGCCTGGTTACCTGAGGATACATGAGGGCTGACAGGTAGTCCTTCATGCACAGGAAGAGCAGAAAAACAAGCACCTGCAGGAAGAATAAAAAGGCAAATGCATATAAATACTTTACAGCAGAAACATTGAGGGAAAGTTTAGTTAAAACAAAGAATTGAATTTTTATTTTTACAATGCTGATGAAATACTTTGTGTATTCACTTGTTGTGCACATTAACCTGCTTGTGCTTTGCATCTCTGTCTGGTCGTAGTGAATTCAGAGCAGCACTGAAGCTCAAATTGTTTCCTTTAGAGCCTTGCCAGGACCGATGAAGGCTGGCAGCCAACAGGAGAGCTGCAGCTGAGGGCGTCTGGATCACTTGACCTTCCTCCAGACTGCAGACCAGAAAACTTTGTTACATAAGCTTTCAACACAATGCAGTCAAGTATTTGACTCCAAATCTAGAAATTTGTAATAAAAATAACTTAATTTCCACAAACACACTGATCATTGGGTCCAGCTGCCAACACAGCTGATAGATACATCAGGGTGTGGACATAAAACCTTTGGGAGTCTCTTGTGGTATCTGGCACTAAGATCAGATTTTTGGGGTCCAGTAAGATGTCAGTGCAAACCCTTTCTGGCTCCTCATGCAAATGTTTGGTTTGGGATCTGGGAGTTCTCAAGCTGGTCTCTGTCATTTCGTAGAATTTTCGTTTTTTTTTTTTTTAGCGGTCGACCTCTGTTATTGTGGAGCCACTTCGCTGTTTAATAAGGGGTCAAAATCACATGGACCCAATGTTTACCAGCAGAGTACTGCACTTTAAAAAGAAATACTTCCTCCCGAGTCAAACAGTTTTGACCGTGTGTGATTAGTTACATGTAAGAACAGGAACAAACCCTTCAGAAAACAACTTCTATACATCTAACAAAGGTCCTCTGGACGGATTCAAAAATGATTGTTTTAAAAATGTTATTCAATTGTTTGAATCTGTCCAGAGGACCTGACTTAACTTTGTTAGATTTTTCTACCTGGATTACTGAGCATGTATCAGGATATACATGTTTTTGTTTTTTATGTTCTCAGAAAAATTATTCAAACCATCGATAATTACTGTATGATAATGCATTTTAATACATTGCCATCAAACTACTCTCTCAACCCTCCTCAGGCTGCATTTGAATACTTTTAAGTGTTATACTGTAATTGGTTTCTTGCTAACATCACTTAAATCGATTTAGGTCACGATAATGTCAGGTGTTTTTTTACCTGCAGGCCCACAGTCGACAGTCTGTGAGGAGCTGCAGCTGACCTGGAGGAGACTCTCCACCACGCAGACGACTCCACAATGAAAAGAGAGCAGACGACAGCTGCTGCCACCAGCGCTGAACACAAACACGCGTTATGTTTGGTGAGTTTAACACTACCTTCATCAGATCTTCATCACTCGCTAAAATGTCATCTTTTAATGGTTATTGCTCATTGGGCTCATTTTCTGAATTAGCAACTGCATCTATATTTACTATTAAGTTACTAACCACTTATAAGGAAGCATTTTGTATCAAATTTAGTGCTTTTAAAATTAACTTTAATGTTTGTCAACATATAATACACATTATTTTTCCATTCTGCTGTATATTTCCATGCAAATCTCAATCATTAAAATATAATAATCTTTGGAAAAATGTATTTTCAATTAGATTGTAGCAGCGCTCTGATCTAGAAATAAAAAAACAACCTAAAAAATCTTAAAGAGAAAATATAAGATAGGTTTTATGTAAAATTGTTTCTAGAAGTCTTACATATGTTGTAATTTTTAAAACATTGTTTTATTACCAGAAATGAAGAAAAAAAACATTTACTGTAATCATACATTTTTTTATATTTTATTAGAACCATCATCTGATCCAGAGGCTTGATTTGACTGTAAATTGCAGGTTATTTCTGAGAGAATTCAATACAAATTGGCATGTTATGTTAATAAAAACTTGTTAAAATTGTTATTTTTCTGTATAACTTTATAGAGAGTTCACTAATGTGAAAAATAAAATTGCAAAAAAAAAGTTGCAATGAAAACAGACTGTACCACTGTGGAGACCACCAGCAGGGGACATCGGGTGCTCATCTGAGACCAGGCTTTGTTGAATTCTTCTGCTGGACGTCCACACTGAACACTGGCACATAACAAACCCTAGACAGCAAATAAAGCCAACAGATTTACACCCATCATGCCCAGAGCTCCATGTGCTCCAGGAAGAACTATTTGTAATCTTTTTGTTTAAGTGATGGACTCTCACTTTCAGAAAGTGCCCTGTTAGGTGGCAGGGCAGCACGCCGGCTGGAAAACACACTTTCCTCTGATGATGAATAGAAGGAGAGGAAGAACAAAAACAATATTAAGATAAAGTTAATTTCTCTTAAACTACTGATCTGCGTTGAGAGAAACTTTATACACCAGCTTACCTGATGCTGATTGACATGATCTATCAATTTGTCGCAGACCAAAGTCGTACTTCCTCCTTCAGTCTTTGTTCTAATGAACAGCACAGCGGGGAGAGCCAGCAGCACTCTGTACACAAAATAAGACTTTTAGAGGATTTTACACTCACTGTAGTTAGATAAATCTCAGTAGAAAAGGATTGTTCCTTCCATTGTCCATTTTACCAACAGTTTCTCACACCTCTTTGCGGAGCTGACCTGCATGAATATTTGTGTGTGTGTGTGTGTGTGTGTGTGTGTGTGTGTGTCTCATACCTGCTCCATGCGTGTACAGTCTGCTGCAGGGCGAGCTCGATGCTGACGCTGAGAGAAGCCGAAGTCACGGCGGGGGAGCATCTCTGAGACACCGCCTCAAACAGGAAGTCACACAGATCAGATCTGTGTCCACAGGTGCCCGAGAGGTTGGTTATTTCCATTTCATATACAAGCTCCTACACCAACACACACACATAAAGTCAAAGGGGTTTCATGACGATACATAATAAGTGCCTTTGTTTTGGTACATTAATATATAAACATATTCACCAAACTGCTTAATGAGCAGTTGATTCTTTGTGTGACACCAAAAACAGCTCAGACTCAACAAACCCTAGAATCTGCAGACACTGAAGGTGTCTTTAGGCCGTGTAAGGTGTATTAAGCACCATGACATTAGCAGGAAATCTCTCAAGTATTTTGATAAAACGTGTATTAGGATATCCAAAAACATATAATTGAACCAAGTGATGATTTAAAGTGACCCTTTTTAACAGAATCACCACTCTAACGACTCCGACTGTGTTAATAAAGGTCCTTCCTCCTCATCCAACAGATCAAAACCTGACTGTTTTCCTACAGTCCAGCATGTCACAGTACACTCTGTAGTCCCTCTGAGTGATCTGAAATGTTTTGGCTGTACACAGTACAAGCAGAACAGAGAAAAGATGTACACACCTGTAGTCTGGACAGAACATCTGGCAAACAGGTTCCTGTTCCTGATACATGAGCCTGAGAACTTGGATTTTCTGAGCTCGGGTCACTGTTGACATAAACACAAAAGATTCATGCTTTCCTGACAAATTCAATTAGCACTGAATGAGTAGTTTTTTTATGACTACGAATGTGTGCTTTTTGTGAACTTTCATATTTTTTGCTCCATATCGTTCTCTTTTGGAAAGCCTACTGGAAGGTATAACAGACTTAACATTTGAATAAACCCTTTTGAGCCCCCAGATTCATAATTTTACTCTTTAATGTGTTCTGATGGCACCTTAACTGCTGGTCCATGATGGCACTGAGCAGAGAAGAGCAGAGTTTCTTCATGTCTCCTTCACAGCCTCCTTCCTCCTCAGGACGAGTGAAGTAAAGCTCCAAACAGGCCCACTGCTGATACTCTTGACTAAAAAAGAGAAAAAATATTTTAGGAAAGGTTTTTTTTTGTGTTTTTTTTTGGGTGCAGATACTAATTTGTTAAATAAAATAAAAAAATAAAAAAACATTCCTCACATTTGTGTTTTATGAAGAACCATTGACCAATGATGAACAATCTAAAAGCAAACCGCTGTAATACTCGGTTTAACATTTGTCTCCTTAGAAGAGGTTTTGCTGAAAATTTAGGCCAGCGGGTGGGACGGGTGGGAGAAGGACGCAAGGATGGCAAACAAAAAATGCAGTGTGAATGCTTATTGCTGAAGAACTTGTTGGAAAAACAACTGAAATTAGCTAAAAAAAAACATGCTGAAATGGAAGAACAAGCCTAAGTTAGCAAAAGAAAGCAGAAAGAACACAAAATAAGCACAAAAAAATTGGAAATTAACTAAAAAATCTGAAAATAGCTGAAAAGCAGCTGAAAATGCAGAAAGGAGTTTAAACTATCAAAAAGAAGTGGAAGGAGCTTAAATGAGCTAAAAAAAAAGTGTAATTAGCTGAAAAAGCTAAATTTAGAAAAGGTGGAACAAGCTCGAATTAGCAGAAGAAAGCAGAAAGAACACGTTTGCTGACAGAAGCGGAAATGAGCAATAAAAAGTGGAAATTATCTGAAAAAAGCTTAACTTGGCAACAAAAAAAACCACAGCTGAAAATAAGCTAAAAAAAAAAAAGGCAGAAAGAAGCTTAAATTACCAGAAGGAAGTGAAGAAAGCACATTTTTGCTGCATTAGGCTGAAAAAAGTTGAAATGAGTGCAAAAAATGTGGAATTAGTTGAAAAAGCTTAAATTAGCATAATAACAGCAGTATCTGAAATAGCAGAAAAAGCTGAAACTTGCAGAAATCAGCTGAAAGGAGCGTAACATTCTGAACTTAGCAGAAAGAAGTTAGACGAAGCACAACAATGTTTTAGTTAGCAGAAAAATGCTGAAAGGAGAACTAAACATCTGAAAATCTAGCTGTAATTAGCTGAAAAAATGTTTAAATTTGCACAAGGAAGCTGAAAGAAGCTGAACCGGAACAAAAAGTGAAAGGAGCAGTAAAAGGTTGTAAACAGATCTGAAAATATGAAGGATATAAAATGAGCTCAATTCATTTTCTATGAGAAAAGAATGGTAGTAAAGGCCAAATATTTCAAAAAGCTAAAGTTGCACTAATACCAAAAGCCATCGCAGGATTGCCCTGAAAGAATTGAATGTTTTGATTTATAATTTGTTGTAATAGCACAAAAACCATGGAACGAGAATTGTGCCAAAAAAAAAAAAACATATGGAAGAAAAATGGATCACAATAGTGTGAATGCTTCATAAGCGTTCACACAATACAATAAACCTTTTTCTGGTCAATAACTTGAATCATGTTTTAAGAAAACAATGACTAAGTAAAAAAGAGAACTGCTTGAACATTTCTGTTCAGACTCCCTAAAAATTATTTTCTCCCATTGTGAGATTCTTTCAACAACAAGAATCTTATAAAGGCGTTTGCGTTAGTAAATAAGATTTGTTTGCATGCCATATGAGAATACAAATGTGTGCATTTAAAACACAATTTGTGTCTGAAGATCTGGTTGGAAAAAATAAATGTAATGCCAAAATCAACATAATGTATTTTGACAAAACTATGAGAAGACAAGAATATATGCATTTTGTCTTTTTATCATTTATAAAGCAGTTTTCATCCTCCCCCACACACCATATCTGTTGTATGTTTGTCCTCACCGTTGTGTGTCAGACAGGACGTCTTCACTTCTTTGTACTCTGAGCTCATTTTTCAGCCATTCTAAGAAACACAGCTTAACAAACAACAGTAGTTAATGATTATTTAAATTGTCAATACTTTTAATCATTAAAATAAAAATAAAAATGTAACATTAAAACATTACAAAAAAACAACCAATAAATATTTTTTTTGGTAATTGATCAAATTATGCAGGAGCCTAAGTAAAAATAGGTTTATTCAAGTTTTAACAGCCATTCATTACAAAACCAAACAATATTGTACATTAAAACCTGCTGTTTTTCTTAAATGAGCAGAACTGCCAGTACGGTCTGTTAAAGCAGACTTATGATATTAAACTGTGAAAATGTTTAACCAGTACAACTTTCAAATAGGTATTTAGAAAAACAACTTGGAAGAATCCATGTTCCTCTTCTTCTGCGTCACGTTTACTTTGTTTGATGTAAAAATATATGCGCGTTTGTGTGTGTTCAGCGGAAAAGTGATCCAGCTGTAGGCAAAGTCAGCATACAAGTTTGTCGACTGCATGCCAGTGAATACAAAAATCATTAATTTCACAATAATCAATAAGAAATCAGGTTGCCTAACCCGATACTGAGACTGTTGCTGTAGCTGCTGAAAGGCAGTGTGGCTCCACAGACGCAGGGCAGTCTTCCTCCAAGTGTTATTACTGTCCGTGATGCTGCTCCATAGGTTGACTGAGCTCTCCTCCTCGTTTTCTTCTGCACAAGAATTAGCCGAAGTTCTTCTGGCTTCAGGCAACAGTCTTGGAACGAGATAAAGGAGCTACAAAAGACAGCAAAGAAAAAAATGCTAGGTTTTAGGTAACCTACAAATAAATCATGGCAACTTTTTTATGCACTTACAGTGAATTAACAAAAAGAAGAATAGTGACTGATGTTTAAAGGGAATGTCTAGAAATGAATGGAAAAATGTGCTTGGCCAATAAAAACCAGAAGATCTCGCTCAGTTAGGTCAAAACAGCAGTAAGAACAATTCTTCAAGAACAATTGGGGTTTGATTAGTCATATTCATTTTTGTTCTATGTTTTTTAAATTTTTATTAAACCCTTTTTTTTTTTAACTCAGTTGGGATTTGTTAAGGAGTGGAACTTCACAGAGTCAACATTAATGAACACAATCAGTCTATTACAAACATCCAAAAACAACATGAAATTATGACATTTTATTTTTTTATAAGAGTAATAACCAATTACGGTATGTCATCATGCAGATCTGTAATATACAGTAGAATTAATTGATAATAATGATAGGTTATCCTAAAAATGCTATAAAAAAATACAGAAAAACAAAAACAGTAATACCAAACATTTTATCTTAAAAAAAAAAAAAAAAAACATATTTCCCTGCTCAGAGCCGAACACAATCAACCTGAAGGTATTCACTCATGTAGAGAAAAACAACCATAACAACAGGATAATGGCAAACAAAATGAAAAGAAAATCACAACTTTAAGTTGGTTTGACAGTAAAAGAAACAGATACCTTTTTATAAAGACTGCTGGGGACGTATTGCTGCTGAGATAAAGGGTCTCCTTTACAAATCCCATAACACACAGCTGCCAAGCAAATCCTGGACAGCAACAAAACACATGAAAAGCAGATTTTCCACTTGAGAACTGACACCTGACCATATAATAGCAAGGACATTTGTGCACTTTAAGGTATGCAGTATACTGTTGAAAAAGCATCAATAAAAAACACACTCCTGAAAATCTACTGCTTAAAGTGTTTTTAGACAAACTTCCAGATATACAAACGCTTTATATAACACCTCATTGTTCTATTATGTACAAAGAGCACAACAACCCTAATAACAGGTATAACTGACAGTAATTTATTTGTCATTGTTACACTGAATACTGTAGCACAAAATATAATTCCAACTGCTTTTAATATCTGCACGTTATGTCTTTAACTTGCTCCGTTCTGCTTTTTTCTCTGCAGTTTTCTACAAGCTGTTATTTTAAATATTTCTACTGTGTTTAACAGAAGAAGAAGAAAAAAAAAGCATCCAGCTCAAACTTTGGATAACCTTACCTGACAGAAAACAGCATGTTAGTGCGTGTGTTACACAACAGTGCAGGGCCGAGAGCTTCTGCAAAAGGTACTGGTTGAGGATGAACAGGCGGCGCCAGCTGAACCAAAGTGCTGTGTGACGAGGAGGCGTGAAGGTGGACCACAAACACTGCCAAACCCAGCACATGTGCAGCCGTCAGTGACGGCCCCTTTGAACACAAGAGGTTTGTGAAAAGTTTGTTACTCTGAGTAGAACAAATCAGGTGGAATTCTTTTAACCGTTGTATATAATTAAAATGCTCTGGGGGGGTGGTTCTCATAAAAGGAGAGGTAGACCCACAGGTGAGTTTGAAGATTTATGTACCTGTTTATGAAATAGGTCCCAAAGTCTATGCAGCAGGCTTGAGAAGAGTTGTGTGTTAACAAGCAGAACACTGACTAAACTGGAGGCCCAGAAACTTTGTCTGAAAAGGAAAACAAACAGATCAGCAACAATTCCTTAATTGTAAGTAAAACAAGTGAAATTTTGATTATAAAATCATTATTTGGGTGACTTTTAAGACACAAAACTTTAAAAGTCTGTGAATTTAGCCGCTCTGATTTTTATACTTAATATACACACACAAAATTCAATAACCAACTGAATATTCTGGTTATGTAAAACAAACTACATCATAACAATGTTCTGGAAACGGATTATTTTTCTGATTGGGTAGAGGTAAAAAAAAGTAAGCGTTATAATTTTTTTGCCATACATGGCAATCGTGGCATTACCATTTTGATGTTTAGGGTTGTTGTGTTAAATTGATGTAAAAATGAATGTACTATAAAAAAAAAAAAATATATATATATATATATATATAAGCTAAATTATGTGACAATGAAAATAACTGCTAAAAATAAACATGCATTAGTGATAAACATCTTATCACTGTGATTTTTCTTCAGCGTGACGCTAATCAATAATTAAAATGATCATTTGTTGCTTATTTGTGTGACTTTCACTGAAGCAAAGACACCCCACGCACTTGTTAGGAGGATTTGCACGGGAAGCGTTTAACTGGCATTGACAGAAGTTTTGCAGAATCATACTGACGACCTGAAAACGACAGAATAATGAAATACAGATGAGCTTTGAATGCAGCGCAACCCATGATTTTCAAATAAATACATAAAAACATACTTTTACATGAAGCTCGGGCAGCACGGGAGACTCTGTGTAAAGTGTGACGACTTTTTGTCCAGTCGGCTCATAAGGACTACCAGTGAAGACAACGCTCAGAGTGTGTGAGATCCTGGACAGTTGGGCTGACATCTCTGAGTGTACATGACCAACATGACACGCACAGAAACACTATCAACACATCATTAACAGCTTTTATATTTGCTTAAAACTGTGAATTATTTGTCCCAACCGCTCAGAATAAATATATCAAATATATATATATATATGATTTCTGCCCACCTCCATCACTTCCACCAATGAGCAGCTCTGTGAACTCCTGCAGCTGAACCTTCAGGACGTCCAGAACATCATCGCTGGTGTTCAGACACGCTGTGCTCTCTGAAAACATCACCGTAATCATTTGGTTTTCTACTGTTGCATGAGCTATAGGTGCAGGAGCACAAATATATACAAAAACATGAATTGGACTGTGAGAGCACTGGAAAACACCATTTGAAGATTTGAAGGCAAATAAGCTCTGAAATATTAGTTTCTTCTTTTCTTAACTTTAAAAAAAAAAAAAAGTGATTAACTTCTCATTCAAAAGTAACAAAAAAAATTTTAATCAACCTTTAAATTTATCGTTTCACACTGCTTCTAAACTTTGTCTTAAGTTTGCACAATATGACAAATGTAAACTTTAAATGGACTGTAAAAGGCATTTTTCTTGTGCTTCACGCTGCACTGCCATGAAACCTACATTTACAGAAAGTTTATACACTTTGTTTAACTCTATAAAATGACTAAAAGGCCAATATGACACTTTGTAGTTGCACAAGTTAAGAGTAAATTAGATTTAATTAAAGATTTCAACACAAAATGCTTCACACCTACAGTATTTTAGTGTTTGCATTGGTTACGTGTGCATTTATAAGGTTCTTTTGTTGGTTTGTAAGATACTTTACAGTCAAGTCCTACATATTTATCAGACTTGCTTTTAACTTGCGTTCCATCAGGTCTTCAGATTTTACCATAAGCTATAACTAAAATCCACGAGGTTTAATTTTCCTATTATACCGTTCTCCTGAGGACGTCTGAGACTGTTGATGTTTTGAAAATAAAAAATCTGGGCTTAACTTGTTCAGTTTGGGTTTTAGTTAAATTCATTACTCACACATTTTACAAAGTATAACTTTCATTTTATTTGCTATCTTAGTGTAGTTTCTCCGTCTCCTAGGACGTGGCAAATCCTCCCAAATTAAAAAAAACAACAACAAAGCAACAGGACTTCTGTTTTTCAGTTGAAGATTTTTCCCATCTGAGGAGCTTTCTCAACACAGAGTTCCAAACTTTAAACTAAATGAGATGCTCCGTTTATGCAGCTACAGCCACATGCAGATGATTTTTGCTCACCTCACACCTGAAGGGTGTTAGGGTTTTTGTATGCTTGGGTCACGAAAGAGATGTTTTGGTCCCATGCATGACGGTGTGTATTTTTATTTTAGATTGCTTTTTCAATTTTCTCTGTTAGCTATGAAGCTTATAGTTGTAGTTTGATATTAGAATTATATGTAATTCATTTTAATCATAGGGCACTTAGCCTTACAGTCCAATGTATGAAATGTGCTTTAAAAATAAAGTTTGTTGTATTGATTGAAAACAATCTGTGTTAAAGAATACCCACTGTTTTGATGCCTTTCTTTCTGGCAGGACTCCACATACGATGAATATTGTGCGGGAGGGATCTTGTCTGCTCTGCATACAAAAAATAAAATAAATGAAGACATACTGAAAATACGCAAAATAATTACAGATAAGTACTGGTTACTAATCATATAATTCAACTTCTATTTCAATTTCAACTTGAATATAGTAATAAAAGCCTAATTTGTGAAATTCACAATAATAGAAACGTACATTTATTGAACTACGTCTACGTTTCTGATCATAACTCACTTTTTCAGAGCATCTATAAAGCTCATCAGAGCATCAGGCTTCACTGGAAGCTGCAAACAGACACGAAGAGAAATGATTATTTGTGTGATATGAACAAAAAACAATACTTCAGATCTGGAAACTAGCAAAACAAGGACTCAAGCTGCTCACCAGTCTTGGCTTTAACAGAGCGGGAAGAAATCGTGTCAAAAAGTACGGCCTCCTGAAAATACTGTGAAAACAGCAACGTGAGAGTTTGATGCAATTTTAAACCCACATTTGAAGGAAATTAATAAATGTGATGTACTTCTATTCAAGGTCATTTTATGTCTTCTTGTTCTGCCAATATAGAGTTATACTGTATTTCTGTAGGTGTTTTGTGTGTTCTTTGTAGATAATGCATGCTCGATAGGCTTCTGTGTGCCATGAATGTGCTGCGGCGAGTTGAAAGCCCGATGCGTTACCTGGCCTCCATGACTGTGGCAGAGATCCTGCCGGTGCTGTCGAACAGAGACACGGCCTTCTCCACATCCTGTGCAGCCTGGCACCGAGGCTGCAGTCAACACAGACATTACAATGTTACCCAGCTGTGACATTTCCCATCTGAACAAATTAAAATAAAGACATCTGATCAGAAAATGAAGAACTGTCCAATTTATGCAAACAATATGTTGATTTTTTTTTCTCTGGTTATCTTTTGTTTCCTATAGTTCTGAAAAAAACAAGTACAAAATTGGTCCAAATGTTACCATCCTCAAATATTACCATAACATTCATTTCAAATTTGAAATACAGGAGGATGTTTAACCATTGCTGTGCCTAAAACCATCTGAGAGAAAATGGTAAATAGACTGTACTTATATAGCGTCTTTCTAATCAAGATACTCAAAGCTCTTTACAGCTTAATCTGTGCCCTCATTTATCCATTCATACAGCACTCTACTATACCTCTACAAAGACTAATCAGTGCTTTATCACATTCATACACCGACAGGACACACATCGGAGGCAATGAGAGGCTCAGTGTCTTACACAGAGACACTTCAGCATGTGACTGCTGGTGGAATGGAACCCTCAACTCTCCCAGTGGAGGATGGCTGCTCCAACCACTCAGCCACAGCTGCCCCAGAAAAGTTTTTGTTGTTGTTGTCAGAAAACTGACAAAATCCATCAAGAACCATCAGTTAAAATTTAAAATACCAATCTGACCACTGAGTGTGGCTGTTACCTCCACCGAAGCACCAGAAACATCCTCATATAAACCCATCTCCTCCACCGACTCCTGTAACACACACACACGTTGTTGTATTACCAATTTCAACATATAAGGTAAATAAAACAACAAAGAGTATTAGTAAATGGCATTCAGTCATTTTGGATATTTAATTTGTCTTTTACCTTGAGGTCAGCCAGTCTGGTTTTAGCCAGAGAGACGTACTCCATGAGCAGGCCGCGGTGCTTTGCAGGAACATACGGAGGGTGCAGAATATGAACCTAAAACATGAAAATTAAGAGTCTGATGCCGGATATCAAAACTGGGACATTCCTCAGAGCGTGAAGAGTGCTATTACATCTTCTACTCAACTGAAAAGAACATCCTTTAGAGAACACATCAGCTGAATTTGCAAATATAGTTAAAGGAAGGAACACAACATAAATTTAACAACTTCACATTGGTATTCATTAAAAATATCTGCATTGAAAAAGACTTGTTTACATATTTAAAAGCCAATAAACCAGGAACAAAAACTGCTAAATAGGCATTGGCTAAAAGTCATATATACAAAGCAACAGAGTTTATTTTTATTGCCCGTGTAAAAATAGAGATAATAAATAAAGTTTTACTGAGCACAATGGTAATAAAACTAATAAGCGATGTTCAAAAATAACAACTAGGTTGACATGCAACTTCATTTAATGACAAATAAAAGGTTTTAAAATTTTGAACTGGTGTAAATTCTCTGTTATTTGGTAAAAATAAATAAAGTAAAATAAAAAGAATTATAAATAATAGAATATAGAAGTCCAGTAACTTAACAGGGTTTTTTTATGATTGAATTAGATTTATAAATGCATTAAACAAGCTGCAGAATCATTGAGCACTTTTAAATAATAGGAGAAACAGACTTTTTAAACTAATTTCTCTCATCTATTAAAATTAATAGAAAATCACAAATAGAAACAGCTGAATCAAACCACAAACTTTAAAGCAGCTAATTAAGTATTGCATGCACATTTTATCCAGCTAATATTATTAATTATTTAAAACCAGTATTTAAACTGGATCTCACCTTGAGGTACTGAGGAGGATCAAAAGGAACCAGGTCAGAGAGAAACTTCAGCAGGAACACCAGAGATTTCTTGCTGTTCGCCTGATAGCTACTGCCACCACCAAAAGACATCTAAAAGTACACAAAAAAAACATGTTTATAAAAACTTTGCAAACATAAAACAAACCTAAACTTGAAAAATAAAAGCTTCTCTTAGCACTTCAACCATGAACAGTGTGCTAAATGTACATTTTTGCACATTTAAGCTCATGTTTCATGTTCATGTTTTGATTTTCCAATCCCAAAATGTTTTCTATGTTGCTAATATTTTTACAGGACCACAAAAACTTAAAAGCAACCACTATTTGAACAAAAGTCTTAAACAGTGCTTCATTCACTTCTGACACAGATCGTATCAGAGATTCTCACTCAGCTAGCTGAACCGCAAGGTTTACGTCTGCAGTTCCTGAAGCGTATATAAAAATACTTACAAAAAGTGTAAACAAATAGCTAATATAAGGCTTTAAAGCACACCGTATATATGTTCAAAAAGGGGTGGGAGGTCTAAATCTATTATTAAAAGCTGGTGTGAGACCTTGAACCAGTCGCTGTAGGAGGGGAAGATGCGGGGACCCTCCAGCGCTCCCTGTCGAGCTAACAGGAAGGCGGTGATCATGTTCTCGAGGTCATAACCTTCAAACGCAGAACTCAACAATCTGGACAACATCTCTGAGAGGAACAAACACACAAAGTGGACTTGTGACTGACGATTTCCACATTTTCTTTTATGAAAATCCTTTAAAGCTCAGCACAAAACCCCCACGTTAAGCAGTTTTCATTTAGTCACACGTGTAGCAATAAAAGCTAAATGTTATGGTGCGCTTACCCCTGAGGCTGGACTGGGCAGACTGGTTATAAACCAGCAGAGTGGAGACGAAGCAGAGGACATGCTTCCAGTTGACTTCGTGGGTTTCTAAAACCTGTTGCAAGTGACGCAGCAGCTGCTCCACGCTGAAGACCACAGCCAGCTTTTCCAGGAACACGAGCGCAGTAAAGACCCGTTACTTTTCATGTATCCAATCAGGCACAAGACAACAACTGAAATATTTATTTCAGCCCCACTCTCCAAATAAACATAATCAATAAAAACAAGCTACAAATGAACCACATTTTTACAGCTATTAAAAAAGTATTAAAAAGAGCTGATGCAGAAAGCAGCTTAAATGCTGTCGAGTATCTTTCATAACAAAAGGATGAAGTAGCAGCCATGGATTTTCATTAACAGCTTTGAGTTATGAATTTGTTCAAAATCCACATTTTGATGTGAATTCTAAAGGAGAGGTGGGTATTTAAATCTGAGCAATTTAATCTATATGTGTGTTTGTAGAGATACTGGGCAACTTTATTGATGTTTGAAGGCCCAAACCCAGTTACAAAGATGAAACAAAAATCAAATTTACCTTCCGGAACAATGAGGTCAACAAACGGCTGGCTCTTGAAAAGGTCCATTCATTCTGTAAGGCGATGGCATCTGACACTGAGGACAAAAAATATGATTTATTCTCCCACGTTAAAGGTTATGAAACCAGATTAAATTGAAAATAAATTGTTGTAATGGTCCCATAAGTCTGCGAGCCATAAAGTTGATAAAGACAATGATATGGATAGATTTGTTTAACTGTATCAGAAATTAATGACCTCAGCTTCACTATATCTTTCCATAACCCTTAATCATTTGAAAAGTAATAACAAAACATGTTCAAATATTTTTATATCAACTGTGGTTATGTTAGATATTAAAAAAAAAAAAATCGCAACTAGAAGTTCAAATTCTGGGTGTTTACTACACAAAAAAACTTAAAGAGTCTGTAGTGTCTAAACATTGACAACTTTTAAATAAAAGCTAAGGTTTTTAAGATGAAAACGACTGAGAGTATCAACAAAAAAACTACAAGACATTTTTTTAACCTGTTAGTTGAGGGTTGTAGGTGAGAGTCTGTGTGAGGGAGTGAGTGAAAAACTGCTGAAGGGCGTCGGATGACACTGAAACTCCATAAATCGACGAATCAAATGTATGAATCCTGTAACAAACCAAGAGAATAAAGAAAAAGATGTTTTAGCATGAAAGGAATGGTCAAAATTCATAATCAGGAATATAACAGAGGGAGCAGAAACAACAAGGTTTTCATGCAACAGGGCACAGAATCTTATATCATCTAAAGATACATTTTCCAGTCAGCCTCTGGATTCAGACGACAGACTGAAATGTGTCAAAGACGGCGTTCCTGTTTAAATTAACAGCTTAATGTTGCACGCATGGCTGTGACTCAAAGTGTAAAGCATGCAAACTGATTAAAGCAAATGAGGTTTGATCATCAGTGCCAGGTGCACCGTTTGAGCCTTTTCATGACGAAGAAGCTGCAGTGTGTGTGTGTGTGTAGGTCATAATTTACTAAAATATCTCATGTTGCTCAGTCCAAGTGTTCATAAAAAATGTACTATCAGATATGTAACAGACTGTTTTATTACCGTCCCTTCTTATACGTCTACCAGTCCAGCAAAGAATGCTGTCAGTGTTTTACCTTTGAAGTGACAAAAATCCCTTCCAAAAAGGATCACAAAAGACACATACTATTTTGAACCTTTAAATAATTCTCTTAATTTACAAACAAATTGTGTAATCATTAAAAAAGGCAAAAGCTGAACCATAGCTGAGCTCCTCCTTCACAAGACTGCACTGTAAGACATTTGTCTGCAGCCTCCAGAAGCCCTGAAAAATAAAGAAGGAAAAATCACATTTTAATAGTACAGGAAACAATATCTAGAGTGCAGCAGTTTAAATCAAACACACACAGACTTGGTGAGTGTAGACTCACAGATGAGCATGTCGTCCAACATTGAGCAGCACAGCACGGAGACCTTCCTGTCTGCAGCTGCTACATCTCTCTGCTCGCACCCCGTTTCTACCAAGACGCCAATCACAGCTGAAACACAAGAGCAGGTGTTCAAGCTCAATGTTTCTATGATAAGCACGTTCCAGTCTGATCCCAAGTATTCAAGTTCAAGCCAATTTTATTGTCATTCTCATCACATGTAGTACATGAGGTGGAATGAAATTATGTACTCAGGGTCCCAGTTACAACCAAAAACAGCAAAAATATAAAGTGTAAAGGAACAGTATATAAGGATCTAAGATATACGCCAAACGAACGCCAAACGGTACGCTAAAAGATCTAAGATATACGCTAAACACTAATAATGTAAAACAATATGGCATAAACAACAGCAGCCCGAACATGAGTCTGTGTGAGCAGATGGGTATGAATGAATACAGCAGCATGAGATCAGCAGCATGAGATCAGCAGCATGGATAAGTCACATATCACCAATTAAAGTGGCATTACAGACATTTTTTTTCCTTGAAGTGATTTTCTTGGTTAGGGATTTATGAGTCTAACAGCCTCAGGGTAGAAGCTGTTCCTCAGTCTAGTGGTTCTACACTTAATGCTCCTTAACCTCCTGCCTGAGAGGAGCGGGGCAAAAAGTGTGTGCTGGGTGAGTGGGATCCTTCATGATGCAGGTGGCCCTCTTCCTGCATCTGCAGGTGAAGATGTCTGTGATGGTGGGGAGGCTGACTCCAACAGACTTCTGTGCTGCCTTCACCACTCTCTGCAAAGCTTTTCTTTCTGCAGCTGAGCAGCCTCCATGCCACACGTTGATGCTGGAGCACAGGATGCTCTCCACTGCACACCTGTAGAAGGAGGTGAGGACTGAGCTTCCCAGTCCCGCTCGCCTCGGCCTCAAGAATCATATCAAAGCACCGTTCAAGGCTTCTTTTTTTAAAGTTGGTATCAGAGTAGCTGCCTCATTCCACTCCCGATCTTTGCCCATGGTTTAACATCAGCTGTGCTGCATTGCAGATGCTTTATGGCCATTTGGTGGCTAGCTCATCACTTAGCGACGTCAGAACGACAACGTCCTTTGTCATCTCTCCACCCGTTTGCTGCAAAACTGTCGTTTCATTAACATTATTTTAATCCAAAAAGCAAATTGAACTGAAGAACAGGTGACTGAATTTATCTTTGGATGAACAAATCCTTTCTGTGGTGGAACAAATGTGTTTTCATTGCCTTTAGGAGTTGAACGAGCCACACTCGTGACCTCCCAACACAACGTAATGGCACAGGGCTTCCTGAGGATTATAAAAATGACAGCCAGCACCAACAAGAAATACAAAATGAACACGAGTTCTCTTTAATGCAATGATGAGATACTGAGGTATCAAACACGTGATAGGATTGATTTTAATATACTGCAAACATTGAATGAAGAGATTGTTTTGGCCGATCTTTTATTTTAAATGACTCAAATCGGTATCTGAGACAAACAAATCTTGATCGGGACATCCCTAGTGTACGATCAGAAACAGAACGCACAAAATGAAATAAAATACGTAAAATATATAAAAATGCTACTTTAAGTATTTTAATAGGTTCATTAGCAGAGAGAAGAACTGTCTTAAAGTTATGTGTTATAAGAAATACGTCCTTACTTGACATCACTTTCTGTTGAACAAGTTTGGTCTCCTCTTCTCCCTCTGGAGGCATCCTCCCACACAGACGCTTCAGCTGCGGCACCAACCAGGATCGCACACCTTCATCACTGAGAAGCAACAAAGAGAGAAGAACTGCGTCGAGTTTTCATTCTTAAAGTTTTCTTCAGATTTTACGTGTTTGAACAGTGACACACTGTTCTTCAGTGTGAAATACAGGAACTCCAGGTGTATAAAGAGCTGGGTTTCTCTCTGAGGCAGAGAAGTTCATCATCAAACTGAACTACTGAGAAAGAGAGAGAGACCACGTTTGAATAAAGCTGGCAATTCTTTGGAGTGTGCACAGTGCGAGTGCTGCATGTTGAATTTTACTTATAATATCAATCTGCATGTGGCATTCATATAAACTCAATAAATACATCTAGTTAAGAATATCAGTAAGTCCTGAACCTCATCCATCAATTTTGACCTGCTCTAAACATAAAAAACACTTTCTATTAGATTTTTATTTTTTTATGTATTCATGATTGTTTTCTGTAAATCCAGGCAAGAGAATATATTTTCATACTTCTCTGAAAAGTATGAAGGGAAAAATAACGAGTTATTTTACACATTTTCTATAAGGTTTGTGTGAAAATGTCTCATGAGAAACAAAGAAAAATGCAGTGATGATTATAATCATGCTAAAAGAGAAGTAAAAAAAAATAAAGATTAACCACAGTAGTACTTTTTAGAAAAGATAAATCAGCTGCATAGTTTTTTCATTCATTCAACCTTTTTTTATAGAATATTGTCATAAACCCCAAAAAGCACTTTTGAAAACATATATTTGGAATCAAAACTTTCCATCTGGACATTAGATGAATAAAATTTGATTTTATTTATTTAAAATTCATGAAAAGCCCATTATTGATTCAAACTATTACAGATTTGGTGAATTCTGAAATTAATGAAGGTAATGAAGTTTTACAAAGACGTCACAACAGATAATAAAATGACAAATTTCACAGTTAAAAATAGAAACTTACCTTTCTACAATGTACTTCAGAGTGAGGATGTTGTAAAAATGAAGATAGTACACCACCTCCAATTTGGGATGTTTCTGAAAAAAAAAAAAAATAATAATCACATTTCTTTTTATATTTAGCAAGGTTGTTGTTTTGTTTGTTTGTTTTGATCACAATACAGACACAACATCTTAGTGTCTGATGTATGAACAGCATTTTTTATTGATTTATCATTTTCTTTTATTGCAAATGTGCATTTATTTAGCTGCAAAACATAAAGATATTTATTTATAAATAAAAAAGTAATTGGAATATTTTGAAAGTCTGAGCAAAACAAAAAGAAGGATAAAAAAAAAACACCACAATGATTGAAAACCTTTACAGGCTTTAACTTCATACTTTTTGTCATTTTAAAGACATGCTGTATTTAGACCAACTCTATTTTCAGAGAAAAGAGCAGAGAGGAGTAAAAATATTTCAGACTTTTATTTTGAAACATATAACAATTCTGATAAAACAAAAAGGGCCTCGAGTTTACAGAATGGGGATTAAGCTTATTGTACTACTACGGAAGAAAATCTTTAATTTAATAAATATGTGAGCGCCACATGAATGAAAAAAAAAATTTAAATACCAACATTTTTGCTAAATCTGTGAATTCCTCAAGTTATCAAAATATTTGAAACTTATATTCATTTCGGCATCGTGTCCAGAACCAAAAATCAAGTAGGTTTTCGTAACATCACTGAATTATAATCTCAAAAAACTCTACAGGTGGGGAAATGTTAAATACTTTTTTTTAAAAAACATGCTCTAATTCACTCATTGCTATCTTTAATTTGTCCCCCACCCACAATAAATTAGACTTTTTGTTTCAGATTGTGTTTTAAACCTTTTTTTTTTTTTTATTATTTTCTACACATCCCTCCCTCTCTCTCCAAGTCCTGGGGGGCAATCCCAAGTCGGAGAGAAGACATACCAGTAATTCTTCTAGTGAGTTCGGAATTTGTCACTGGGTTTCCTCCCAGCAGGACAACCTCAGAAAAGCTCCAGAAGGAGGTGCCAAAGAGGCAATACTGTCTTGAACTGCCTCAGCTGACTTTTATTGTGAAGTAGTGGCACTAATATCATTATATATTTTTTATTTATCAATCTAATAATTTTTTTTATGGAATGGACACAAAAATACAGTATATGATCGTTCCTGTACACACACCTGATCTCTCCTGAACTCCTGCCACAGAAGTTTGGGGCAGAGGAGTCCCTGAGACAGCAGCTCTCTGCTGGACTCCAACAGGACACACAGCTGGGCCTGCAAAAGACCAGAACAACACTTCTATCGAATTTAGATTTGATGTTGTTCCTTCAACCTTACCCTGCAGTGATCTGTGGATTTGAACTGTCAAGTTAGTGGAACAACAAAAGTCTATATTTGCCATCAGATCTGCAACCCAGATGTAATGAAGCAGCTGTTCTCAACACGCAGAACTGTTGTGGTCCCACAGAGGTTAACCAGGAAGAGTTAAGTCTACCATAAGTTTACTGTTGATGTAATTTGTCCTGCAGCTCGAATTGAAAAGGTTCTGCTCCACCCACTGAACTCTAAGTGATAAATTAGAACGTGGCCTCTACACGATTTAAATATTACATTTTAAACAAGATTAGAAATACTGCAGCGGCTCCAGTCAATAAACTAATGTGATGGATTTTTAAAGTCAGTACAAATAATAAAACAAAAACACGGACAACTAAAAAAATGTTTTTATATAATTTCGTTTGTGTTCTTAAGCGAGATATTTACAAGAAAAAAAATAATAAAACCCCAAAGAAAATAATTGTTTAATGAAATTTAGCTAATAAAAAAGCCTTATCACATGTGGAACAATTGTTTTCTTCATGTTTGTGTGACGTTTTCATTAAACCTTCATACTGAGTTTTTCCAGAGCCCATCCTGATGTAGTGTACTCACTCTCTGAGAGGATGTGAGCATCTCTCTCCCCAAGTCCTCCTCCTCCTGTTTTTCATCAGCTTCCTCAGTGATTTCATTTAGTCTTGCCAGCATCATTTTCACAGACAGCACTGTGACAGGGACGCCCAGCTGAGTGGCCTGCCGCTTCAGCTCACATCCTGTCCACAGAAAATGCAACAAATTCAATTTATATCAAAGGCAAATTTATTTTCATGTAGCAAACCAAATTTAAAAGCCTTCTTTGTGGCATAAACAGGTGTAAAAAGAAAAAAAAAAGAACGGCTGCGTGAATAAATTCTGCAACTAAACTCAAGAGAAACTCCAAGAATATCAAAACTCAATGCTCCACATTTGGTTTGATGTGATAAACACACGTTACGCTCATCTTAAAATCCTTCTTATGCTCCTCTGTGATGTCTGATTATTTAAATCCCTATTGACTGACTCACCAAACCTCCCTAACTATAATAAATCGTTGACTGAAGTCTATAAATTACGGCGTCACGACATCTGAAATATGGCATAATCAGCTTCCATAAACTGTCTTAATTTAGCTGCTGGTTCTGCTTGTTTCTCTTTCATTTTTGAACATTAAAATCAGATAACAAGTTTACTTTCAGTCAGATATGTTTCTGCTAAGTGACATAAAGAAATTTTACTGTGTCATAAACAGCTGAACAACTGGATAATGTCAGTTCATGAGACAGTGGGGTGTGATCAGAGCAGCATTTTATTAAAAATAAAATGGATTCAAATGGAACCAAGTTAAAGGCTAAAAACAACTTTATTAAATAACTTGTGATATAATAGTTAAACAGCAGAATTTTGGGTAGGACATAATTAGATTTTCTTTAATAATTGCAAGTTATTTAGGTGTTCAGGAGAAAACTGATGTTCATCAAAGGCCTGTTGAAATCCCTGCAACGTGCAACTTTAGAGCAAATCTTTTGGTGTAACTGGTTCCTGCAACGAGTCCGACAGCAGGTATCTTTCAGACAGATTTTTAACATGCAATGTGCACATTTCTGAGGGTTTGGATCAAATGCTCACCCAGTAGTGATGCAGCTACAACAGAGGAGGCATCCTTGGACGCTGCCTGTTTCTGTTCTCCAATCTGATGGCGAAATGTGTCGCACTGATCCAGGTTCTGCTAAAAACAATGGAAAACATTCGCAGCATAACATCAGTAAGACATCAGTAAAATGTTAAGCATAATAATCAAATCAGAATCATTTATTAATATGAAGAAATATACAACATATTTAACAAGCACACATCTGACCAAAAAGCAACGAGTAAAAAATGTAATAAAAAAACTCAAGTAACGAAATAAGTGTCATAGTAAGCCTTAAAAGTGTTTATATGAGATGAGTGCACAATATGTTCAGGATAATTCCATAAACATCTTTGATACTGAATCATTCATTTCTGACATTTACCTTCACTTATTTACCTCAATAGAGTTCAATGTGCCTTTATTTTTTTTTTAAAGTATCATAACTAACTGGCTCTAAAGCATGGGATAATTTGTACTTTGATCAAATCACCACCATCTGTTTTCTAATATTTGTATTCATAGTTCATTTAACCTATTCTCATGTGACTTCTGCTGTAATTTAGACAATTTCTCTAATTAAGGTAACCAGACCTGCATGATATGCACGGCTTTTACACAATATTAAAAAAAGACTCAGTATCAATACAAGTAAAAGATCATTTGTGCATACCTAATGCACACGTTGCCTTGGCAATATACTTAACAAATGGTTAGTCAGTTACTAATCTACCCAAATATTTCACTTTACTCACCGTCTCTAAAACAGACTCAATCATATTCATTCAACCTTTATTTAAACAGGTTAGTCCCATTGAGCCACGAGGACTCATTTACAAAAGAGACCTGAAAATATATATACTAATACTATACTAATAATAATGTACTTTTTTTAATAATACTATAATAATAATACTAATATTTTACTAAATATACTAATGATTTCTATTTCCTTCATGCAAGAATTGACATTTGGTTAAAACCAGCCAGCCATTGGACCATGACAACAACTTGTAATTTTTTACTTCATGATGGTCAACCAAAAACAAAACATTTTAGTCATCAGACAAGTTTTTAAAATTCAGTAGATGTTACTTGTTTGGTAGTCTAGCAGAATACAACTTTCTGTTTAAACTTGTGATAACTATTTCACTGTTAGCCGTGGAGGACAGTACAGGGGTAGTTTCTCCACCATCACTTACCCCCAACTCTTTGAACAGGCTGCTGAGGTTCTGGTGCTGCTCAAACAGCTGGATCGCTGCTTCCTGCAGGCGCTGGCCATCTTCCTGCTTTGGCCTCTTTACTACACGGCCAGCTGAAGCCAAACCAACATATTCATAATACATTTCAAAATTTGTTGGGTAATGTAGCGTTACATGCTAGAACTCTATTGTTGGAAATGTAAACATTTTTGTTAAATGTTAACTCACCGAGGAGGCTTGACAGACTCCTTTTCTGAGCTAAAGACCCACACGAAGCACTGACAGACATTTTACTTTAACTGGCCGCTGAAAAATGTCTCAGAAGAAAGTCCGCGGCTTAAATCAGTAAATAAATATTCTTTAATTATCTTAACTGTGATAAATGAGATAAAAGTTTAAGCGATAGCAACATTGTTTTGATTCACCATGTCCTCCATATTTGCTCCACGCGCTTTCCTTTCTCATTGGTCCGGGCTGCAACCAATCAGGAGAGAGCAGAAACGAAAATCTTTGGGACAAACAAAACTATTCCGGAGTTTAATTCAATTTGATATCTGTCACAGCTTTATTTTTTTTTAGATTTGTAGGAATGAGGTGTTTTGTTTTTTTCCTCAAAAATGATTATATATTTTGATTATTGTTTAATAGTCTTTGAGCTTTATTGTATTTGCTTTACCATCTTCTGTTTGTATTAATGGACAAATTATTCTAAAAAAAAAAAAGAATGTACAGTAATGCACAAAAGTCATGATTCAACACTCATTTTTTTTAATATTACACTTTTGCAAAACCAGAATATCTTGAATTTTTTTTTTTTAAGTGATCAAGGTTTTTTTTTAATTTTTTTTTAAGTTTTTCACTTTACAGGCTTGGGCATCCGTGACCCCCGTGACCCAAAATGGAAGAAGCGGGTAAAAGATAATGGATGGATAGATGGATGTTATTATTTTTACTGGACATAAAGCTGTTTTTATATAACTAAATTTAGGTCCTTTATTGTTTTTTGCTTGTTTATTTAAGCCACTTACCTCTGACAAATAAATATGTTTGTCATGTAAACAAGCTGCTGAGCTCAAAGGATGAATCATACCAATTTTATGTTGACACATAAGAAATAACATTTTTAATGGGCTATGTGGGCAGCAGCACATCAGAACTTGGTTCTCATTTCATTAGTTGAATTTATATATATTTTTTAAAGTATACACAAAATGAGTCAGTGACAGACAGAATATAGTATTTTTGCACCGAAAAGATGATTCTATTTTTTTTTTTTTTCATTTAGCCTTTATTTATACAGGTTAGTCTCATTGAGCCACGAGAACTCATTTTCAAGAGAGACCTGTTTAGGGAGCACATGGTGGGGGTTAAGGGCCTTGCTCATGGGCCCAGAGTGGGGCGAATGAGGGTGGGGGCAAGTATGAGTGTTTCACCTACCCCACCCACAATTTTGATGTTGTCGGGGCCGGGGCGTGAACCGGCGATCTTCGGATCACAAGCCCACCTCTCTAACCTCTGCGCCACCACTCCCCATATATAAGAGCTGGTAGCTGAAAACTTCCACAGAATGAACATGATCAACAGAAACATGCATCTCTCAGATATTGTGACTGGTCCTTGCTCAATTATTGTCTTTTTTTCTAAAAGCCGTGATTTTCAAACATCGTTCACCTGCTCTAGATAGAGTAGATTTTCAGGTCAGGAAGGACTGGGCAAGTGAAAATGCAACCAAAGTCCTAAGAATTTTTTTGAAAGATGTTCAGAAAGCATGAAGAACTGCTGATCAAAACCCCAAAAGAGGAACAAATGAAATAACGTATCACAACTAAACAATGACACAACTCCAAACTAATTTTTCATCTTGTTTGTGTGTGTGTGTATGTTAGACACATCTGCTGATAATTTTCCAGCAGCATGCAAAACTCGTTTCAGGAGCGCGCGGCTTTACCTGATTATTTAGTCATTTCTGAGGCCTGATACTTTTTGTTTGCTTGAACTGTATCAACTTGCAACACAACATCGTGTGCAGGAAGGAGACACCCATAGTGAACTTCTTCTTCCTTCCTCCCCTCCTTTGAAACAGCATGTGAGAAGAGAACATTGGCCTCACAAGTCTTTCCCAACATTCTTCTGCACTAATGCAGTTTTCTGTTTGTGCTCTCGCTCAGTAACTATAATGGTGCAGCGTCAGGCCTCATTGGTGATTTCTTCAGTACAGCAGCTCCTCTCCCCTCAGCCTGGACTTCCCAGCTTTGTTGCAGCTGGCCGGGCAGCAGGGAAGCCATCTCATGGGAACTGCATAAAGGAAACTCGTGAAAATTTAATGCAATCTGTCCTTGTGAAATTTTTAAGAGCACTCTATTGTGCTTCTAATGGGCTGGACAGAGACACAAAGAGGAGCGGGGTTGTCCTGAGATTGCTGTAGAGGCAGCAGCAGCAGTGGTGCGTCATCACCTGTCAGGCCTATTTTAGTCAACCCCATTCAAGATGGCTGCCACAGCTAAAGCAACTCAAAAATGTCAACAATGCTATAACTCAGTCAGTTTTCCAGATATTGAGTTGGAATTTGGTGTATTGGTAGCTGCTGCAAAAAGAAAAGCTTTACAGAGAGTTGTGAAGGCTGCACAGAAGACTGTTGGAGTCAGCCTCCACCATCACAGACATCTACACCTCCAGATGCAGGAAGAGGGCCACCTGCATCGTGAAGGACCCCACTCACCCAGCACACACATTTTTTGCCCCGTTCCCCTCAGGAAGGAGGTTGAGGAGAATTAAGTGTAGAACCACTAGACTGAGGAACAGCTTCTACCCTGAGGCTGTTAGACTCATGAATCTCTAACCAGAATAATCATGATGTGAAAAATCACATCATGTTGCTGCTGATCTGTTTCAATGTTGCTGCTGATCTCTTTTATGTTGATTTGTTCATTCGTACTCATCTGCTCACACAGCCTCAGTTTTGTGCTGCTGTTCAGTGTATTGTTTTTATGCTATTAGTGCTTAGCGTATTTTTTATTAATGTTTTTCTTAGTTCATATCTTAGATCTTATTACTGTTTTTCTTTTACATTTTAATACTTTGTTGGTTGTAACTGGGACCCTGTGTACACAATTTCGTTCCACCACATGTACCACATATGGTGTGTATGACAAATAAAAATCCTTGAATCCTTGTACGGTTGTTGACAAGATTTGAATAAAATGGTTTAACTGTAACTTTGCTGTTTTTCAGCATAAACTGGGATTAGATTAAAACTATGGATTGAATGCCAGTAGGTGATATGCATTCCTTCAACACAACAACGATCACTAGGATTTAAATATTTGATTCTATTAGATTATTTATTTTTGTCACACACACACACACATATATATATACATATATATATATATATATAT